AATATTCCAGCTATATGATGGGGGTCTGTAAATAATCGAGTCTGGACCAGACAATCCAGTGATTAATATCATGAGCATCGATCCACGCATTTGGGATCAATGTCATGCATCAACCAAGTCAGCGAGCCTGACCACCCGATCCCGTGAGTCGCCTTTCACGACAAGTATAGTCGCCTTTTACGGCATGCATGGGTTGCTGAAGACCTATTCTAACCCAGATCTTTACGGGGCTCGCTGGGTGAAGTGAGGTGAGGTGACGTAAAATTGGGTTTAACGTCAGATCCAAGATTATTGCATTTATATAGCGACGTGCATGCACGCGCGCGTCTGCTTGTACTAGTCCGGACTGATGCAGATTTATAGTGCTAGCCCACTGAAATACCATGCCGCAGTTTAACATGAATACCCCACTCAGCCACAGTATACTGACTCTGAGCCGACCAGTCCTTGTTTTAGCCACCCAGTCACCACCCGACGTCAGGATCGTCAGATTGTGCGACTGCATCTTCAAGATCGCTTTGTTACTGCTGCGGAAACTGATCGACAGACCATGGGGACACACCAGTGACACATTAGTGCGGACACCGTGCGTCGACGATTGATGAGCAGACACCTCCACTGTCACAGTCCACACCGAGGACCCATTCTGACACCACGTTATCGCCGGGACCGTCTTCAGTGGGCAACACAGCAACAGCATTGGCGCCACCACCAGTGGAGGAATCCTCTTCTGAGTCCTGTATATCAACAGCAGATGGCAGAGAGAGAGTCTGGCGACGCCGTGGGGAACATTATTCGGACGCTTGTGTTGTTGAGAGAGACTTGTGGGGTGGTCCAAGTATCATGGTGTGGGGTGGAATTGGTCTTGCACAACATCGGTCCAGGGAGTGGCAATGGTGTCACAGCGGCTCGGTACATTGATCAAGCCTCATTTGGCACGTCGCAGCAACCACGAGTTTCAGCATGATAACGCCTGTGCCCACACTGCGAGAGCAACTTGAGACTTCCTCCAGCAGAATGGCATCAGAACCATGCAGTGGTCTGCCCTCAGTCCCGATTTAAATCCCATTGAGCACCTGTTGGACGAGATTCAAAGACTGCTGAATGACGTCCGACCAAGGCCGACAACTGCACCTGAACTGCATCAGGCGTTCCTCAGAGTGTGGGCTCAAGTGCCTATGGCCTTCATCAACCGCCTCATCCATTCCATGTATTGCCGTTGCATGGCAGTCATTAATGCACATGGCGGACACACGAGATACTGACTTGTGATGCCATTTTCTCAGAGACTAGTGTTGTGTTTCACTCTAAGAACATTTTATGCTTTAATTTCAACAATGATGATCAGTTTTGCCAAGTTTCATCTTTTTAATATGTCTCAAAGTATGTTTACAGTGTTTTGACAAATAAGGTTTCTCATATATCTATCCATGGTGATGTTTCTTTTGCGGTTCAGTATATAAGTAGCGTCGACCTGACCACCCTGGGGGGGGGGGGGGGTCAGGGGGAGTCAGTCAAATATATAAAAAATAAAGTGCTTTTGCATTTTCAAGGAAGGTCATGAAAAGAATGTACAAGGACATGGGGAAGGGTCATCCAAAAATATGACCAGCATTAGGAGAGGCTATTAATTTCAATATATTGGTCCATCAAACACCTCTGACCCACCCTGTCCATGGTTTGTTTGTTTGTTTGTTGTATCACTCCGAACTCAACAATATTCCAGCTATATGATGGTGGTCTGTAAATAATCGAGTCTGGACCAGACAAACCAGTGATTGACATCATGAACATCGATCAACACAGTTGGGATACGATGACATGCATCAACCAAGTCAGCGAGTCTGACCACCCGATCCCTTTGGGTGAGTGAGTATGGTTTTACGCTGCTTTTATCAATATTCCAGCAATATCACGGCAGGGGACACCAGAAATGGGCTTCACACATTGTACCCATGTCGGGAAACAAACCCGTTTCTTCGGCGTGATGAGGGAGCGCTTCAACCACTAGTCAACACCACCCCTGGAAATAACTGACCAGTCCCTAAATTATTTCAAAACATTTGGTGTTGGTATAACATGAAGCTTCACTGATGTCAGGTTGCAGCTGCAACTGAGAATGTGAAGCTGTACATAAACAAAACTTGTTTTTCTTATGTAAAAGGTATATCATTATATTCCTGTACAGCTGACACACTGGTTGCATACAGACAAGAGAAAACACTAAAACAAAAACATGAAAACTATAAATCATTTTTAGTTCGTAAAAACATGTACAATCATTGATGGATGTCAGTCCAGCTACTCTGAAGTTGTCCTGGAGAAAATAACATCACAAATAAAACATTATGATCATTCGTCCATTAAGAATCTTGCAATTCCATTGATTAATCTGTACCATGTTACGAAAAATATTACGTTTCAATGTAGACAACCAAATCATGTGACTGACACGTGACTTTTGACTCTCACATGATCAGTATTTACCTATCACATGATGATTATTGACTCGTCTGTTAGAAAACAAGATGGCATGTGGTAGTAACATTTCACGGTTCGCGTCTTGGTTACTGTAACGAAACAGGTTTAAAGGCTTCATAAACTTTAAAGTGAATTTCCGTATAACAAGATGAATGATTACTCTCGATGAGGTCATTATGCAACCCTCTGATCCGACCACTTTGGGGGTCTGACCGGACCTCGGATCTGCGGCCTCAGTCTGGTCAGATCACCTCAGGGGTGGGATCCATGATTCTTGTTCTCGTATATTGACCTCGTCAAGATTAATTATTTGTACAGCGTTCATATTTAGTGAGTTTGGTTTTGACTAGGCTATCAGGGCAGGGTACATCAAGAATGGGCTACCCCACTGACCTTTATTGACCGGAAGTGAGTGAGTGAGTGAGTGAGTGAGTGAGTGAGTGAGTGAGAGAGATTGGCTTTATTTACTAACAATCCAGACAACTTCACTGGGAACTGTCCAGGTTTATAGAGTTTCCATACACTTAAGACAGATTCTTCAGGTCTGCACTCAATACAACTCATGAATCTTATTTCAACCAATCACCAGATTGGGATATCCCTAATCACTAATGCCCACATCTTTGTACCAAGCAGTGTAATTAATGCAATATTACGTGATATATTTTGACAAGTTCAACTCGAACAAAAAATCTAAATAGAAGGAAGTCTGATCTTGTACCTAAACATATACTGGAAGAGATTCCATGATTTTTACAAATGGTGTGTGTGCACAAAACGCAAGTAGCCAGATTCCCAACAGAAATCCTGCAAGTCAGCAGAATTGTTACAAGCTAGTGTAACAGACAGACAGACATTTTATTTATAAACCCATATCACAATTCATTATTTTTAACACTGTATATAAACAAGCTTATATTATGAGTGAGTTGGGTTTAACACCGCTTTTAACAGTATTCCAGTTATATCAGGGGGTGCCAGCTAAATGTGGGAGTAAAGCCCGAAGTGATGCAGGTCTCAGATGTTTACTAGTTCGGTGAAACCCACGAGCACGGGTATGGTGCTGACAAACCTAGAAACATAATCTGGGTAAACCGGGATTCGAACACACAATCATAGGTTTCTGGCGTGCCCAAGGGATGCAACTCTGCACAACGAATCGCGGCGCCTTAGACGACTGGGCCACCCGCTTATATTATGAATAATTTTTTAATTCCTTGACTTCATGAAGTAGTAAAAGCGAGATGTGCCGTTGGGTGCCTTGTGTAGTTGTTCAAATATTTATTTCTTACAGCGGTGTCAGCTGCACCAACAAATAAAACATGAATTTCATCTTTAATGGCATCACTGTCACATAATTTGTACAGCAACACTAACATGGTATTTAGAATTTTACATAACACTGACCATTGAATTGACACCACTAATACAGTCCTCACAGCACACATTTTAAAGTGGGACTATGCTCTCGCACATTGTCAGTCCAAGCAATTTTGATTCATTTCCTCAAAGACAACTCTGCCTCTAAATACATATTTCATGATGTGTAGAATCAATCAATCAATCAATCAATCAATCAATCAATCACACCAAGCCATTGAACAAAGTCTCTCCAGCGTTAGAAATTGGCACTAGTCCTATAGTCCTTACCAAACTGCCCAATAGTAAAGGTATCCTAAGGACTAGAACAATTGGCCCATTTTATGGGTTTTGCTATATGTTATCATTATAAGGACTAGTGGACAAAAACTGTTAGTTTCTAACCCTGGTCTCTTTAAGCAAAATTTCAGTCCAATTTCAATAATAAATACTGCATTGATTCAATCCACACATACATATGCCTACACATGCCTACACATGCTTACACATGCCTACTCATGCTTACACATGCCTACACAGACCGTGATCATCATTAATACATCATGAGTTTGTACACACTGTACATTCCTCCATCACCTGCGACTATATTTTTTGTAGTATTAACATGCATTAACTTTGAGCAAACCTTACCATTGGACATCATTAAAGCAATACGTAGAGCAGACAGCTGCACATACATCTTTCCAAGGCAAGGCACTATAAAGGTCCAGTTTCCACCCTTGCCAACTAGACCAGAATTTCTGGGTTCAATTGTAGCGCCACCAGTGGCTATTACAAGTTATGTCCCTTCTATGTCCCTTCTATGTCCCTTCTATGTCCCTCCTATTGACCAATCAGATTCCACCTCTCATATCACTTGCATTTGCCTCAAACAAAATGGCAGCACTCAGTGAAGACAATCTGATTGATAATCAAGATCCATATTGTAATAAAATGGGTTTTACTTTGCAAGTGTATCAAATCACGTTAGCACCTTGATTAAAAACATGAAGAGATTTGGAAAATATCTGTTGATGCTAAGTTGACGGTGCACATGATTTGCAAATCCTGCAGTCGACCGACCTCTGCACGTCAGTTTACGAACCAGATGTCGATTTCATTATGCAATTTTGATTGGACTATGCATAAACTTGTTAGTCCAGCCAAAATATAACTTTAGTCCAGCCAAAATATAACTCCATTAATCCAGCCTTGTGAATCCTGCAAGGGTGGAAACTGGATTTTAAGGTCAGTTAACTCCCTTGCCTCGGGAAGATGCTGCACATATTGTCCAGCAAGAAACGGCCATTTGTGAACCGAGTTCAGAGTGTACGAAGCCATGAAGTATTAAAAATGTTTATAAGCTACTGTAATGTCTCCAGTATGTAGTGTGTGCCGGTAGAGATCAGGAGAAGGAGGATCTGACTTGTCCCAGTCTGGGTTTGGGCCTGCAAAACAAAACACATCAAACATTGGTGAGTGACTGATTGAGTGGGTGAGTTCAAATTAATGCTGCTTCTAAAGGTGTTTCAGTGAAGTCATGAAGTGTCAGTTTAATCTGTGAGGAAAGATCAAAGTGATGCTGATCCAGATGTTTGGGCTTGGTGCTGTTGCTGTTGCTGGTGCTGCATTGTGATGAGGGGAAGCTGAGGATTGAACACATGACAACCATGGGGACCGGGCACACAATAGGTCCAGAAATCTCCTCATCAGAATCCATAAACCAATTAATAAAAATTTGCCAAACATTCTACCATGAATTTGGAATTTACTCGATTCTGATTGGTCAATCAGAGGCTATTAAATCACAATAAACCCCCTCTGATTGAAACAGCTGGTTTGACGGCCGCATCACCGCGGAAGCTAATATTCACAGATTAGTACTATTTTCAGTCATTGTCGGTAGGCATATTTAAATAATTATATCTACAATTACAGGTTACGAAATGCACAGATGCGGTTACTACAATATTCAAAGGATGCGTGGCAATACATTTCGTGCAGAAAAACACGACAGAAATCAACAAAGGGAATGTATTTACGTTTTGGAGACAACAGAGCGCTTGGAATTTTGACGTCATATTTTTTGCGTCACAATGAGCGATATGACGTCATAATGGTGACGCGCGATGTAGAGCGAAAGCCTTGCAAAGCTTGCTTTGTTTTCTTTAGGGATGCCCACCTCATGTTAGCTTACCAAGTTGCTGTGCTTATATGCTTTCAATGCCTGTCATATGTTCGAGTGAAGTATAACGGTGTAAACAAACTGCTTGAGTATATACAGCACCATATTTTGTTTGGTGATTCCGTAATTCAGATCGATAACCAACTCAAAACACTGAACTCAACCCATGCCGCTTCACTCAGTATATTTGCTAACACCAAAGAGTTCGCGTTTTATTTAGTCATGGTAGAATGGAGATAAACATACTGTGTTTTCAATGTAGAGCTAGGTTACCTGTAGATTTAACCGCGCTAAATATAACATTTGAAACCTCACGCTGCGCGTTCGGTTCCAAATTCAATTTAGCGGGGTTAAATCTACAGGTAACCTAGCTCTACATTGAAAACACAGTATGTTTATCTCCTAATTCATACGAGTCCAAAATCATTGTCAGGGTCTCATCTCAAAACATCATCATCACTGTTAACTAGACATATAATGGATGATAAAAATTTAAAACATCAAATTAGCTTGAAACCATTAATTATTTTTTTTTTATTTAAACATTTGTTTTACATTTATAAAAAGGAATATATGTTTAGGAGTAACTTTTCATGACCATAATTCAAACTAACAACTGCAACGTCATCAGATTTACAAAATTGAAGAATTGTATCATTTGTAAGCTGGTTGATAGTCTAGCTGTGACAGAAAAGCATGGTTATCGACATAACTAGCACCTCTCCTCTGACAACTACTCCCATTAATACAATGCTAAATTAAAAGCTCCCACTCAATATTGTATCCCAATAATGCCTCCTTTGGCTTCGGGGTAGTAATTACTTTGATTATGGTAATCGTTAAAACATTGAGCGTGTTCCATCCCATTCAATGACAATCCGGTGATGGATCTTATGAACAATGATCAACGCCATTGGGTATGTTGGCACACCCACTACCTAGTCACCGAGTCTGACCACCCGATCCACTAGGCAGCCTCTTACAACAAGTGAGTATAGCTGCTTTTAGCAATATTCAAGGAAATCACGGCGGGGGACACCAGAAATATGCTTTACACATTGTACCCATGTCAGGAATCGAACCCGAGTCTTCAGCTGGACAAGCAAACGCTTTAACCACTAGACCACCCCCTCTTACAACAAGCATAGGTTGCCAGGGACCACCCAAATCCCCCTGTGAAATGTACAGGGCTCAATTTTGCAAAATAAAACATGCACCAGTGCAACCTATTATTGAAAACTGTGGACTTATGTTTATGTCAATTTAGAGGTGAGGTAAGGTGGGGTTTACCGTCGCGTCCAATCATTGCACTTATATAGCGACGTGCATGCACGTGTATGTGTGTGTGTGGCTGCTTGTACTAGTCCGGACTGATGCAGATTTATAGTGCTAGCCCACTGAGATACCATGCAGCAGTTTAACATGAATACCCCACTCAGACACAGTATAGTGACTCCGAGACGATCCTTGTTTTATCCCCTTAATGCCAAGCGCCATGCAGGGTATAACAAGTACCATCTTTTAACGTCTTGTGGTATGACATGGCTAGGGATCAAACCCATGACCTCCCGCTCTACCATTAGACCATGGGGGCAGTCATGTCAATTTAGATGTAATTTCTTTTCTGTCTAATCCTTGCTTGTGAACACAACATCAATCTTGGAACACATTCGATACCACAAAGGATTATTTACCACACTACATCCTGTACATCACTGATGCCTGTGTTACGTGTAATTTGTTGTGATTTCCTGGGTTTCCCTTCATTAACATGTGGGTACATCAAGACAATGACCACATATGTTCCCATTTTGTTTGTTTGTTGTTTAAGGTTGTGTAACCGCACTCAGCAATATTTAGCTATATGACGGCGGTCTGTAAATAATTTCGGCTGGACCAGACAATCCAGTGACTGACATCATGAGCATCGAGTCATGAAATTGGGATATGATGACATGCATCAATCAAGTCAGCGAGTCTGACCACCTGATCCTGTTAGTCGCCTCTCACGACAAGCATATTTGCCTCTCACGACAAGCATAGTCTCCTGTTTCGGCAAGCATGGGCTTCCTATTACATATTTCAGTGACACATCATTAATTTATTTGACACTGGCAGCAGACCAGCCAATGTTTCAACTTTGATAAATTTATGGACCAGGGTGCACCCTGATTTTGTCTGGTGTTTCATGTCAATATACACCTGGTGCAAGTTAAATCAAGTTTCTTAAATCGAGCCCTGTAACTGACATGGAGCAACTAGCTGATCTACATTTGTACAAACCCTGATGTTGTGAGATTATCATCGTAAATAAGGGGAGAGATGTTTGGGTGAGAAATGCTGGGGGGGTTGAGATGAGAATTGTTGGGACATGGTTTTTAGTGGAATTATATATAAACTGAACAAAACAACATGAATATTTTGCAGGATATTTTTCATGAAATTGTGTCTTCAGTGGTCACTACAAAAATAGGTACCCCAAAATACTTGTGATCCCTAACATTTTTTTTAGTATATATATCATGCCTCAGAGGTCACAGAATTTCTGCCAAAAAACATTACATAACTCAGTTTCCAATGCATCCAATAACACAGAATTATTACCAATTGATAACATCCTAAGTTCTTCTTTTCTTTTTGTGATGTGTAATGTTATTACATGGATTTTTTTTACCTCTTTTTTTTTTTCTCTTTATACAGAGACAACAACACAATACCAAATACCTTTTCAATATGGTTGCCATAGAAACCATATTGACATTTTGATGAGATAGTTCTAGCGATTTTGTGAGAGGCCTTTTGCAGTAGAAGCTGTCATCTATGCATAGTTTCAGCACCATAACTTCCTCAGTCTCAGAAAAAGAAGCTCTTTAAGAATGATTAAGATTTGAATAAAAAAATGCATTTAAAATACCTATGTGACCTCTGAGTCAGAAATAAGACAAGAGTGGATCTTTTATGTTAATGGGTGGTGGGAGGAAGTTAATGTAGTCTATACATGCCGGGTGTGTAACAAGATTGGGGAAAACATGCATGCAAGATGCAATGTCATGCATAAAGACACATTTGGCTGCACTTATTAATTTATAAAAAAAATATTTCAATAAATTTAACTTAACTAAAATGCATCAGAAAACACTCCGAGAATCTTAGAGTAATTTGAAAGATTGTAATTAAATATACACATACATGATGTGAAGCAAAATCTAAAACATCTACAAAAATGAAACAAAAAATAAAAAAATAAAGAATAATGAAAACATCATATCTATCTAACCCATTAAATTATTTATACATGTCTCTGACAATCTCCATCCTTTTCATCATTTCATTATGAGAAACACTTACTTCCCCCACCACTTGGAGACACACCTCCTTCTCCTACCAATCATGTGCTTCCCTTACCATTTGGAGACACACCTCTTTCCCCTATCACCTAGAGACACACCTCCTTCCCCAACCACTTGGAAACACACCTCCTTCCCCAACCACTCGGAGACACACCTCCTTCTCCTACCAATCATCTGCTTCCCTTACCATTCGGAGACACACCTCCTTCCCCCACCGCTCGGAGACACACAACTTTCCCTTCTTGCTTGGAGATACACCTCCTTCCCCCACCAATCATCTGCTTCCCTTACCATTCGGAGACACACCTCCTTCCCCAACCACTTGGAGACACACCTCCTTCCCCAACCACTTGGAGACACACCTCCTTCTCCTACCACTTGGAGACACACCTCCTTCCCCTCCCACTTGGAGACACACCTCCTTCGCCTCCCACTTGGAGACACACCTCCTTCCCTTCCCACTCAGAGACACACCTCCTTCCCCTTCCACTTGGAGACACACCTCCTTCCCTTCCCACTCAGAGACACACCTCCTTCCCCTTCCACTTGGAGACACACCTCCTTCCCCTCCCACTTGGAGACACACCTCCTTCGCCTCCCACTTGGAGACACACCTCCTTCCCTTCCCACTCAGAGACACACCTCCTTCCCCTTCCACTTGGAGACACACCTCCTTCCCTTCCCACTCAGAGACACACCTCCTTCCCCTTCCACTTGGAGACACACCTCCTTCCCCTCCCACTTGGAGACACACCTCATCCCTTACCACTCGGAGACACACCTCCTTCCCCAACCACTTGGAGACACACCTCCTTCCCCAACCACTTGGAGACACACCTCCTTCCCCTCCCACTTGGAGACACACCTCGTCCCTTACCACTTGGAGACACACCTCGACCCTTACCACTCGGAGACACACCTCCTTCCCCTCCCACATGGAGACACACCTCCTTCCCCTCCCACTTGGAGACACACCTCCTTCCCCTTCCACTTGGAGACACACCTCGTCCCTTACCACTCGGAGACACACCTCGTCCCTTACCACTCGGAGACACACCTCGTCCCTTACCACTCGGAGACACACCTCGTCCCTTACCACTCGGAGACACACCTCCTTCCCCTCCCACATGGAGACACACCTCCTTCCCCACCCACTTGGAGACACACACCCTTCCCCACCCACTTGGAGACACACCTCCTTCCCCTCCCACTCAGAGACACACCTCCTTCCCCTTCCACTTAGACATACACCTCTTTCCCCCAAACTTTCCCCTAATACATTATTAATAAAAAGTTTTCATTTGTAAGCATGTAATCTACTTAAGCACTTCAATTTCAGTAAGTATAATGATAAATGACAGCGACGTCTATGCATATGAAGCTAAAAGCGTAACCTCCTGTGTATCATCAACTTGTTCAGCTTGAGTGTATTCTGCTACAAGCACAGTGTACAGTGATTAGTGATGCCCGAGACAGGTGAGTTGTGTGGACATGCCGAGAAGTGCAGCAGATGCAGCAGATAAATATACCTGTTTCTGTACCCTAACGAGCTAGGCTTTGTTTGTAAATGATTGTTGTCTGCGCTGGTTGTACGTCTGACCCGACCCCATGCGATGCCTGGGAAGGAGTATGCAGAGACTCAACACATGATTCAGCAATAACAGGATTTGTTTGTTTGTTGTTTAATGCTGCACTCAGCAGTATTCCAGCTATGTGATGGCGGCCTGTAAATAATCAATCTGGGCCAGACAATCCAGTGATCGATATTGTGAGGAACGATCCACGCTGTCGATGAGCAAGGACACACTATGAACCAAGCCTGACCAACCGATCCATTTGGTCCCTCAGTGACTAGCACAGCTTGCTGGGAACCTATTTTGACCCAGAATAACTGCAGGGTTCAATTACATGACATGAAGCTGGAAAAGAAGGAGTATTTTACACTTTATGACTATTCTTATTCTTATCCAATCTTTGTCTCCAATATCATACCACCCTGCGTGAACACCCAAGGACTCCTCCGTAGGAGCGTTCATCAGATGTACCCTAAACAAACTTTGACCAATAAAGGATGGCTTTTGTTTTCATTTTAATGAGATTGCAGAGAAACCTAATATCTCAAATGAAATTGTCATCATGGTCAAATTTACAATTTCAAAATCATTGAAACAATAGTGGATTGGAATGTAACTTTCATAAAGTCAGACAATAATTGTCCTGAAGGAAATGGGCCTGGCTTGGAGGTGACTAGCTGACTCACCTGGCCTGGAGGTGACTTGCGGACTCACCTGGCCTGGAGGTGACTAGCTGACTCATCTGGCCAGGAGGTGACTAGCGGCTTCACCTGGCCAGGAGGTGTCTTGCGGTCTCACCTGGCCTGGAGGTGACTAGCTGACTCATCTGGCCAGGAGGTGACTAGTGGACTCACCTGGCCTGGAGGTGACTTGCGGACTCACCTGGCCTGGAGGTGACTAGCTGACTCATCTGGCCAGGAGGTGACTAGCGGCTTCACCTGGCCAGGAGGTGTCTTGCGGTCTCACCTGGCCTGGAGGTGACTATCTGACTCATCTGGCCAGGAGGTGACTAGCGGCTTCACCTGGCCAGGAGATGACTAGCAGACTCACCTGGCCTGGAGGTGACTAGTGGACTCACCTGGCCTGGAGGTGACTAGTGGACTCACCTGGCCTGGAGGTGACTAGTGGACTCACCTGGCCTGGGTCTGTCCCTGCTGTTTAGTGGGCTGGGTGGTGTTGGCCATCTTCCACTGGGCCTCCAACTTGCTGAATATTCCACCAGAGAACTACCCAGAAAAAAATACATGACTTCACACAGTGTTCATTCCATTTGTTTAATATAGGTCCTTGCACACTTGACTGTGAAAAGGTTGGTCACTCAGAGAACCTAATGGGTCTGTTATCCAAAATATCTCAGTAAATAGGCATGTGTGTTGTTTCCAAGTGTATTTTTCATGCTGTGTGTCCCATCTATTGGGCTATAGTGTGTGTGTGCCTGTAGGTTAACACACTTCTCAAGGGCGACACGAACGTTTAACACTCAAGGAGCCGACTTATAACATGTAACATGGGGGTCATGAATGTACTGCACTTTGCATGATGATACAAAACCCTCCTACTGAGGCTTGAATCTAATTGTGAGTGAGTGAGTGAGTTGGGTTTAACGCCGCTTTTAACAGTATTCCAGTTATATCACGGCGTGTCAGCTTAATGTGGAAAGAAAGCCCGAAGTGATGCAAGTCTCAGATGTTTACCACTTCGGTGAAACCCACGATCACGGGTATGGTGCTGACAAACCTAGAAACATAATCGGGGCGAATCGGGATTCAAACCCACAATATAGGTTTCTGGGGTGCCCAAGGGACGCAACTCTGCACAGGGAATCGCGGCACCTTAGATGACTGGGCCACCCGTGCCACCAGAATCTAATTGTTCGACCTCGGTGCCTAACATGTGCTGGGGTTGTTATAAAGAGTAAATCCCGTCAAAACAATGGACATTTTTCCAGTTGAAGGAAACATAAGCTACACACCAAGCAATTGCTAGGTTAGCCAATTAAATGCAAGGAATCACTTGCAATTTATTTATTTAATAAATAAATAACATTCTCCATGATTACCTCCCTTTTTGGCTTGTCAATCCTGTCGGCTTTCAGTCTCAGTTTGGTCAGATAGAGGCGGATGTCCTTCATACGTCTCTGGTCTGAAGAACAAACAAATATACATCAAAGCATGATAGCTACTATCTCAGCTAACAGTAAATGTTCTTATTTCCTACGAGGGCAAACATATCTGGGTTCATAAAATCATGTGTGCCCTAGGGTTGTATCACGTCATGAGACAACAGTGTATTGTTTCTGTCATCTGGACAGCATTGTTGACGTCATTAGAATCTTATTGTGACATGAGGTCAGAATGACGTCACACTGGAAACGAGGTCATAGCTGAAGATTTCGATGTCATTCGACAAATTTGCCACTTGCTGTCCTTATAGGTAAACAATAAAATTTGTCTGAGACCAGGAACATGCACCTGGTGCATATTGACATGAAAACCTAATTGCACCAGACAAAACCAGGTTGTATACAGGGATCAATCTAAGGAACATGCACCAGGTGCATATTGATATGAAAAACTAGTTGCACCAGACAAAACCAGGTTGTATACAGGGATCTATCTTAGGAACATGCATCAGGTGCATATTGATATGAAAAACTAGTTGCACCAGACAAAACCAGGTAGAATACAGGGATCGATCTAAGGAACATGCACCAGGTGCATATTGACATGAAAAACTAGTTGCACCAGACAAAACCAGGTTGTATACAGGGATCAATCCTAGGAACGTGCACCAGGTGCATATTGACATGAAAAACTAGTTTCACCCTACAAAACCAGGTTGTATACAGAGATCAATCTTAGGAACATGCACCAGGTGCATATTGACATGAAAAACCAGTTGCACCAGACAAAACCAGGTTGTATACAGGGATCAATCCTAGGAACATGCACCAGGTGCATATTGACATGAAAACCTAGTTGCACCAGACAAAACAGGTAGAATACAGGGATCGATCTAAGGAACATGCACCAGGTGCATATTGACATGAAAAACTAGTTGCACAAGACAAAACCAGGTTGTATACAGGGATCAATCTTAGGAACATGCACCAAGTGCATATTGACATGAAAACCTAGTTGCACCAGAAAAAAACAGGTAGTATACAGGGATCAATCCTAGGAACATGCACCAAGTGCATATTGACATGAAAACCTAGTTGCACCAGAAAAAAACAGGTTGTATACAGGGATGGGTCTTAGGAACATGCATCAGGTGCATATCGACATGAAAAACTAGCTGCATCGGACAAAACCAGGTAGTATACAGGGATCAATCCTAGGAACGTGCACCAGGTGCATATTGACATGAAAAACTAGTTGCACCAGACAAAACCAGGTTGTATACAGGGATCAATCTTAGGAACATGCACCAGGTGCATATTGACATGAAAAACCAGTTGCACCAGACAAAACCAGGTAGTATACAGGGATCAATCCTAGGAACGTGCACCAGGTGCATATTGACATGAAAAACTAGTTTCACCCTACAAAACCAGGTTGTACACAGGGATCAATCTTAGGAACATGCACCAGGTGCATATTGACATGAAAAACTAGTTGCACCAGACAAAACCAGGTAGAATACAGGGATCGACTTAGGAACATGCACCAGGTGCATATTGACATAAAAAACTAGTTGCACCAGACAAAACCAGGTTGTATACAGGGATCAATCTAAGGAACATGCACCAGGTGCATATTGACATGAAAAACTAGTTGCACCAGACAAAACCAGGTTGTATACAGGGATCGATCTTAGGAACATGCAACCAGGTGCATATTGACATGAAAAACTTGTTGCACCAGACAAAAACAGGTTGCAGCCTGGTTCCATAAATTGATCAAAATTGAAATGTGCACATTATCTTAAAATACCCACAGTTTGACACCAAGGCCAAGAAAGCATGATAAATTATATATGATAGGAATTATTGATGTAGTATGGAATATAAAACTTAGAAGTCTTGAATGTGTTCAAAGTCCCTTCTAAGTTGGACACAAATTTGAAAGATTTTGACATGCACTTGGTGCATGTAGTCAAAAACGTGCGGTTGCATGTTTCAGTAATACGTTGCACTGGTGCATGGTTAATAGAGCTAAATGAGTCCTGGCATATAACATGGCTACTACTGTCCTACCTTCCTGTCTCTGTGCATCCTGGTTGTATCTCATCGATCTCTGCGTGTCCCATGTTGACTTCTTCGTCTGTCTGAAATGCACACAGGATCACATTTAAAGGAAGCCCTGTGGGGATCCAGGTTACCGTACTCGACGTAATGAGCACCCCGTTCTAATAAGCGCCCACGGAGAAAGTAAGTATTCCAAGCCCAACGGTATTCAAATACTGTATTTTGGTCATCAAGGAATACATTTATGTAGGGAGGCCCTTGTCCAGACTGATTGTACACAACTGTTTATTTGGTTACACAACTGTTTATTTGGTTACATACTAGTGAGAACAACCGAAAAAAAAAGAAAGACACCCCCCCCACCCACACTATATTTTCAAAAACCATTGAATGAGAACCAATTTTACATTTTTAAGCCTAAAACATTTTTTTTTACATATTTAATCCTGAGAGCACCTCAGACAAGCGGGAGGAGGGAAATACAAGCAATAATCACAGATGGCTTAACTAAAGGATTCAATGACTTTTGACATACTCAAATCCTGGAGCGTCCAGTAGAATGGCCTCGGGGTCGATGGTGACTCGTGATTTCCTGGTGGCCCTTGGTTTCTTGACTGCAAAGAATAAATGATTGTGAGTCGTGATATCATTGAGTTTTTCATTGAGTAAAATAAGTCAATTTCAAAATACAGACAGTAACCTTATTATTCATAATGTCCATTGTTTGTTTGTTGTTTAACTCCGCACTCAGCAATATTTCTGCTATTTGACATCGGTCTGTAAATAATCGAGTCTGGACCAGACAAACTAGAGATTGACATCATGACCATCGATCCACGCAATTGGGATCGATGACATGACCACATGATCCCGTTAGTCGCCTCTTGCGTTAAGTATGGCTTGAGTGTGTGGGTGAGTTGGGTGTAACACCGCTTTTAACAGTATTACAGTAATATCACGGCGTGTCAGCTTAATGTGGGAGGAAAGCCCGAAGTGGTGCAGGACTCAGACATTTACCACTGCGGTGAAACCCACGAGCACGGGTATGGTGCTGACAAAACTAGAAACAGAATTGGGGCGAACCGGGATTCGAACCCACAATCATAGGTTTCTGGCGTGCCTAAGGGAAGCAACTCTGCACAGCACCTTAGAGGACTGGGCCACCTGTGATCCTCCCAGAATTCGAAAAGGACCAGAAACCAAAAGACTTCAATTTGAAAGTTGGAGCATACAGTTGGAGCTTGTTAGCAGATCTGAAGCTTCGAACAGGTTGCTACTTCTGTACCAAGTCTATCAAATATGAAGACGCTGCTCCATAGTAGCAGTGATAGGCCATACACAAGATCTTTCAGCAAATTTAGCCAAATAAACAATTCACTGGAACATGCAAAGGTAATGAAGAATAAAGCCCACCTACAATGTGACCACATATCCAGGATAAACATGACACTAAAAACTTTTGTTTTCTTCTCTGTTATACCAAAATATGAATACATTCATGCCAATTTACTATAAAATAGCGCATCATGACATATATTATTAAGTAAGGATAAGATTGATGGAGGAACAACTTCTTTCTTAGAATTAAGAGCGACGTTTTGGTGTAGGTTATAACACCGTTATCAAGCAAGTGAAGAAGTTGTTCATCCATAAACCTTATCCTTACTTAGTACTCCAGACCTGTGAAGATCCGGTCTTCAGCAACCCATGCTTGCCATAAAAGGCGACTATGCTTGTCGTAAAAGGCGACTAACAGGATCGGGTGGTCAGACTCGCTGACTTGTTTGATCCATGTCATCAATCACAATTGCGTGAATTGATGCCCAGAATGTCAATCACTGGATTGTCTGGTCCAGACTTGATTATTTACAGACCACTGTCATATAGCTGTAATGTTGCTGAGTGCGGCGTAAAACAACAAACCAACCAACCAACCAACTTAGTACTCCAACTTCTAAATGCCTATCAAAGAAGCTGAACATATATTAATGCATGAACAAAGTACTGCAATGCATATCAGACTTCATATATCATTTCATGACTAATCTGCACATTCACCTGAGCCTTTGAGGGACTCTTCATCCCCGATCTCGTCATCACTTTCACCGAAAGCAAACTCGTCAATCTCAAAGGACACTTCTCTCTCCACGGTGAGAGCTTGTAGGCGTGGCTGGGGCTTGGGGTGGTGATGCTGGAACACATGGAAGACACTGCTTAACACTCCCACAACTAACAGTTTACAAAAAACACTAAAGAATCAAACAATAGTCATCACTGTAACAAATGTTATATTTTCTGAGTAAAGTACAAATTCTCGTACTTTTTGGGGTTGACTCCCGTTCGGGATTCGAACCCACACTGCCAGAGTGAGGCACCAAATTGCCAGCACACACCGAGGCTTCCACAAAGGGAAAGTCTGACAACTGATAGTCTAGATCACATACTTTGTGACTCCTCTGACAAGTGTATATTGGCACGGTTCCGTTGGCCGGTTGCTGAGTGGGATAGAACGCTGACTTTGTGTGCTGGCGATTAGGTGCCGCACTCTGGCAGCGTTGGTTTGAATCCCGGATGGGATTCAACCCCAAATAGTACAAGAATCTGTACTTTACTCCGAAAGTGTTATCTCAAATATAACATTTGATACATTTGACCACTTTCTAAATGGCATTGTGTGTCAATAGTCATCATTGTCAGTAATTCTAAGAATGCTACCTCTATAACATCACTGCCATAAATCCTGTATTTTGGGTGTCATCACACTATAAAATCTTAAATTTCCAACAGAGAGAAGTGAGTTTTCCCTCATTGCGCATGCACAAGAGCCTTTAGGCAACTAGATACTACTTCCTACACAACTGTTTATAGATAGTTTACACTAATGAGGACTTCTGTTGCAAAACTAGAGACAAAGTGATCTAGCCAAAATATTATATATCAACAAACTACCTCTATTTTCTTGTCCTCTTCTCCTGAGGAGGACAACTTGGATATATGCACTCCTGATGACCTTGACCTACTGGCAAACACCTCATTGCCAAATATGTTGAGTTCGGCTTCACTGAAACATGACCAGAGAAATATACATGACATATAACAGTCAAACTACAACTAATGTGACTTTTAACCTGAGTGAGTTGGGTTTAAGGCAGCTTTTAACATTACTCCAGTTATATCACGGCGTGTCAGCTTAATGACGGAGGAAAGCCCGAAGTGATGCAAGTCTCAGACGTTTAGCACTTTGGTGAAATCCACAAGCACATAGAAACAAAATCAGGGCGAACTGGGATTCGAACCCACAATCATAGGTTTCTGGCGTGCCTAAGGGACGCAACTCTGCACAGCATCACGGCGCCTTAGACGACTGGGCCACCCATGCCCCCTGACTTTTAACGAGTCTTAGTAAGGCATTTATGTTGTATGTATCCATTCTCTGTCAACTAAAGTTCATTTCAAGGCATCAATAGCGGTAATCTGACCTTGGTTGCTGTAAATAATCTTCCGATCTCTTCAAACACGATTTCACAGAAATTAATGTAAACAATATTGAAAGAAATTTTGATTAATATTAATAAAAAAATGGTAGAAACATAAGTCCAGATAAAAAATGAACATGTTTTTATGACCAGATAGTGTAATAAAAGGATTAAATTGCAGACTTCAGTTCGGACTTGTTGATTGGTATTTCCGAAGTAATCTGCTCACAGTGATCAGCTGAAAATCTTTTTTTTGCAATGGGGAAAACACATCGTGTCAGTGTACAACTTAAGTTTATAAAAAATTTGCATCAATTTTGGGAGACATGCGTTACCGCACACTATAACCGCGCTATATTGAAAGGCTGTAATAGCGAAGAAAGACTGTATCTGACAACACTTGCACACGTCACGTAACACTCGAGATTAGGTGCTAAAACTCTCACACAACCACATGACACATGCTCATTTGCTTTTAATGATATTTTTCTTCTTAAAACTAGTTTCACTATATTTTCAAATTCAAATTTACATTAACCAGGCTTCTCAGGGTTAGAAACTAACAGTTTTCATCCACTAGTCCTTATAATGATAACATAGCAAAACCCCTAAAAAGGGCAAATTTCTACTAGTCCTTATGATACCTTTACCATTGGGCAGTTTGGCAAGGACTATAGGACTAGTGCCAATTTCTAACGCTGCTTCTGGCATCAACAGTGGGATGACAGCACGTAAGGAGAACACAAGAGGTATTTATTTGAGGAGCAAAATTCAGAAATTCTGTTTGCCCCCATCAAGCCCCTACCAGTGCCTGGTCCTAGATCGGAGTCCTTGCACAATGGGGCTTGACAAATCTGCCACAGGGCAACAATGCAAACTATGCAGCTTGCTTCTAGCTTCCTCATGTCAGTGCCAGAGTTGGTGGTATTTGTGTCTCAAAGGGGTTCTCAGGGTCTCTCTACCATGAGGCTCCTCAGTAATACTTTTTGGGGGAAGACATGAACCTTGGGGTCTAAGAATGACTTGGGGTCTAAGGCACTAAATATGGGGGTCTAAGGTATGAAGATGGGGGTCTAAGGCATGCATATGGAGGTCTAAGGCATGAACATGGGGGTCTAAGGCATGAACATGAAGGCATGACTAGTGCCTGGTCCTAGATCTGAGTCCTTGCACACTGGGGCTTGACAACTCTGCCACAGGGCAACAATGCAAACTATGCAGCTTGCTTCTAGCTTCCTCATGTCAGTGCCAGAGTTGGTGGTATTTGTGTCTCAAAGGGGTTCTCAGGGCCTCTCTTCCATGAGGCTCATCAGTAATACTTTTTGGGGGAAGACATGAACCTGAGGGTCTAAGGATGACTTGGGGTCTAAGGCACTAAACATGGGGTTCTAAGGTATGAAGATGGGGGTCTAAGGCAATGAATATGGAGGTCTAAGGCATGAACATGGGGGTCTAAGGCATGAACATGAGGTCTCAGGCATGAACATGAGGTCTAAGGCATGAACATTGGGGTCTAAGGCATGGACATGGGGGTCTAAGGTATGGACATGGAGGTCTAAGGCATGAACATGGAGGTCTAAGGCATGAACATGGGGGTCTAAGGCATGAACATGGGGGTCTAAGGTATGAACATTGGGGTCTAAGGCATGGACATTGGGGTCTAAGGCATGGAAATGGGGGTCTAAGGTATGGACATGGAGGTCTAAGGCATGAATATGGAAGTCTAAGGCATGAACATGGAGGTCTAAGGCATGAACATTGGGGTCTAAGGCATGAATATGAGGTCTAAGGCATGAACATGGAGGTCTTAGGCATGAACATTAGTGTCAAAGGCATGGACATGGGGGTCTAAGGTATGAATATGGAGGTCTAAGCCATGAACATGGGGGTCTAAGGAATGAACATGGGGGTCTAAGGCATGGAAATGGAGGTCTTAGGCATGAACATGAGGTCTAAGGCATGAACATGGAGGTCTAAGGCATGAACATAGGGGTCTAAGGCATGGACATGGAGGTCTAAGGCATGGGCATGGAGGTCTAAGGCATGAACATGAGGTCTAAGGCCTGAACATGGAGGTCTAAGGCATGAACATTTGGGTCAAAGGCATGAATATGGAGGTCTAAGGTATGAACATGGAGGTCTAAGGCATGAATATGGAGGTCTAAGGCATAAACATTGGGGTCTAAGGTATGAACATGGGGGTCTAAGGCATGAACATGGAGGAACGTATGAACATGGGGGTGTTAGGTATGAACATGTGGGTCTAAGGTATGAGCATGGAGGTCTAAGGCATGAACATGGGGGTCTAAGGCATGAACATGCAGGTTTAAGGCCTGAACATGGGGGTCTAAGGCCTGAACATGGGGGTCTAAGGCCTGAACATGGGGGTCTAAGGCATGAACATGGAGGTCTAAGGCCTGAACATTGAGGTCTAAGGCATGAACATGGGGGTCTAAGGCATGAATATGGAGGTCTAAGGTATGAACATGGAGGTCTAAGGCATGAATATGGAGGTCTAAGGCATGAACATGGGGGTCTAAGGTATGAACATGGGGGTCTAAGGCATGAACATGGGGGTCTAAGGCCTGAACATGGGGGTCTAAGGCCTGAACATGGGGGTCTATGGCCTGAACATGGGGGTCTAAGGCCTGAACATGGAGGTCTAAGGCATGAACATGGAGGTCTAAGGCATGAACATGGGGGTCTAAGGCATGAACATGGGGGTCTAAGGCATGAACATTGGGGTCTAAGGCATGAACATGGAGGTTTAAGGCCTGAACATGGGGGTCTAAGGCCTGAACATGGGGGTCTAAGGCCTGAACATGGGGGTCTAAGGCCTGAACATGGAGGTCTAAGGCATGAACATGGAGGTCTAAGGCATGAACATGGGGGTCTAAGGCATGAACATGGGGGTCTAAGGCATGAACATGGGGGTGCAGGCTGGCGACACAGGCCTGTTTCACATGGTTTTCAAAGAGTTTTACTGCTGTCATATCATTGTAAAAACTCCGAAGTCTTAATGCTGAGAAGCACATTAAAGATGGGGATTTCATTGTTAGAATGAAGAAAATTACCACCTACATTTTGAACACATAGAAATGTCAGATACAGTGAACTACGGTTATAACAAACTCAAAGGGACCACTAATGTTAATTTGTTATAACTGCATTTCGTTATAAGCATATATTCTACATATATACAGCAAATGTCCGAGACCAAAAATAAGTTTGTTATATCCGTCAGTTCGTTATAAGCGTGTTCGTTATAAACGTAGTTTACTGTATATGCAATCTACAGTTTGTATTAGTTTCTAATGGTTCAAACAGCCATACTTCTTGCATCCTCCAGGAGTTGCAATGAAAACTATTTGCGTCCATTCTCAATCTATATCACACAGGCAGGATGCAATATTTTTCATCCCCTTCACCCTTTGTCTACTGGAGGTAACAGAACGATCTTAGTGCTAAGTTGGTTGTAACTCCCATACTTTATCACTGGCTTACGATCAACGTAGCACTAAGATCACTTTGTGGAACGGGGCCCTGGTTTCAACTAGTTTTTGCCAGTACCATCTGGGTTGTACTCAGTCATGACATGTGTTGCACAGTGGAGTTTTTGCAGAATTGGTTCAAAATTTAAATATAAAATTAAAACTAATCAACTAAACATGAAAGACTTACCTTTAACTAGTCAAAAACTAAACAGTATAACCTATTAATAATGGAAAAGTATGGATGATTCACAAGAAACTAAACATGATTCTCTTAAGTATGTGAATAGATGTGAAGAAAAGAAAAGCAAACATGATGAAAGGGTGAACCAAATGTCTTATACTATATCATGTGAGACCGCCTTCGTGGTCTAGTGGTAGAGCGTCTGCCCGGAGAGCGGAAGGTCCGAGGTTCGATCCCCGACTGCGTCATACCAAAAGACGTTAAAAGATGGTACTTGTTGTTACCCTGTCTGGCGCTCGGCATTCAGGGGCTAAAACACGGACTGGTCGGCTTGGAGTCAGTAAACTGTGTCTGAGTGGGGTATTCATGTTAAACTGCGGCATGGTATCTCAGAGAGCTAGCACTATAAATCGGCATCAGTCTGGACTAGTACAAGCAGCCACACAAACACACACACGTACACGCACGTCGCTATATAAGTGCAATAATCTTGGACGCGACACTAAACCCCATTTCACCTCACCTCACCTATAAAGGCTATATCATGTGGAACTGGCTGTCTAACACCTACGGCAGTCTAGTGCTAACTAAATAATCGTTTGTCACAGCCAGAACCTGGCCATTTCATGTGCTGTCATAGTTCATACAATTGTGCTTTCACGTGTTTGTTTGTTTGTTTGTTGTTTAACTCCACACCCAGCAATATTCCAGCTATATGAAGGCGGTCTGTAAGTAATCGAGTCTGCACCAGACAATCATTGACATCATGAGCATCGATCGACGTTATTGGGATACAATGACATGGATCAACCAATTCAGCGAGCCTGACCACCCGATCCCGTTAGTCGCCTCTCACGACAAGCATAGTCGCCTTTCACGGCAAGCATGGGTTTCACGTGACCCGATCTATAAACATAGGATGCGTGTTGGCGAACAGATCTGTAAGTAAAACCCAGACGTGATGACACCCACCTGGTGTCTGGCAACCTCTGATAGGGAACGCAGATCACGTCTCGGTGTGCCAGCAGGTCATCATACACCTTGTGTAGCGGAGACTTGGAGCCAGTGTCAAGGTCACCGCCACCAGGGGTTGCCTCGGTCAGGTTGATGATGTGGTCCTTTACACGGCAACCCTGAAAGACATTTACTTTATTTAGCCTTCGAAATTCATGCTAGTCTGCTAGCCCGAGACTACAAAATTCTGGGGAGGTCAAATAAAATTCCAATGGTAGTACTAATTGACTAAGCATTTGAGGGCTAAAATTCTGAACCAGTTCTCAATGCTTCAATTTTGCTAGAAGTTGGAACTTAATAAAGCTGATAGAAAATGCAGGGTTAGAAATTGGCACTAGTCCTATAGTCCTTGCCAAACTGCTCAATGGTAAAGGTATCATAAGGACTAGTAGAAAATTGCCATTTTTAAGAGTTTTGCTATATGTTATCATTATAAGTACTAGTGGAAGAAAACTGTTAGTTTCTAACGCTGAAATGTAAACAAAGTAAACATTTTTCAAACAAACAAACAAACAAACCTTATTGAGTTGGACGGGATCGAACCTCATGGTTTTCTGATGACAGCAGGGGTATAACCCGACACACGATGTTGCTGCCGGGCCAACTGCTGTTCCCTCGTTGTCATAGCGGGGGGCTTCTGGGTGGTATTTACAGTGTCCAAACTCTGTAAGCGGGAATGTCTCGCCACAGCGACTGCACGCCAGGGAGTTAATTGTCCCCCACACTCGCCAGTACACATCCCGCCAGTACTTCATCTGGGACTTGAGATCCAGCAGGTAGTCATTCAGATCGAAGGTGGTGTCTCTCACGTGACAGTAGGTCAGTCCTCCACGCTTGTTGACAGTCATTCTGAAGAGTGAGTGAGTGAGTGAGTGAGTGAGTGAGTGAGTGAGTGAGTGAGTGAGTGAGTTGTGTTTAACGCCACTTTTAACAGTATTCCAGTTTAATGTGGGAGGAAAGCCCGAAGTGATGCAGGTCTCAGACGTTTACCCCTTTGGTGAAACCCACGAGCACGGGTATGGTACTGACAAACCTAGAAACACAATCCGGGCGAACCTGGATTTGAAACCACAATCATAGGTTTCTGGCAGGCCCAAGGGACGCAATTCTGCACAGCAAATTGCAGCGCCTTAGACGATTGGGCCACCGTGCCCCCTGATTCTGAAGAGGAGTGAAGAAGGGGATCAATGGGTTTCAGATTTGTGGGTGTTCCTGAGTATTCATTGAACAGCAAGATTAATATTTTCAACCTGAGTTCAACTTAAACTTTCGGGCGGGCGGGTAGCCTAGTGGTTAAAGCGTTCGATCGTAACGCCGTAGACCCGGGTTCAATTCCCGACATGGGTACAATGTGTGAAGCCCATTTCTGGTGTCCCCCGCCGTGATATTGCTGGAATATTGCTAAAAGCGCCGTTAAACCAAACTCACTCACCCAACTTAAACTTTCAGGCATCTAATGCCATGTTTTGAAATGTTTGTTTGTTGTTTAACGCCGCACGTAGCAATATTCCAGCTATACGACGGCGGTCTGTAAATAATCGAGTGCGGACCAGACAATCCAGTGATTTACATCCTGAACATCGATCTACGCAATTGGGATTGATGACATGCATCAACCAAGTCAGCGAGCCTGAGCACATAATCCCTCTTACGACAAGCACATCGTCTTTTATGGCAAGCAAGGGTTGCTGAAGACCTATTCAAACCCGGATCTTCACGGGCAACCTTTTTTAATTTTGGACATAGAACAAAATCCTATCTTTCAAGAAAGCTATTCATGGGCTGAAAAATCCCCTGTGACAGAGTTTTAAAAACAGTGAGAGAAGCAAACTCCCAACAGAGGGTATCAGGTTCATTGTTGCTTTGTGGAAGTAAAGCCCAAAATGGCGCAGGTTATGCATGTTTAAAACTTTGGTGAAATCCACGAGCACAAACAAGGTGCTGACCCAGCAAAGGTCAAGGACTCATGACTGGGGTAAATCTTTGATTTTAACCAATGATCAGTGGACCCTGGCATGACTAAGGGATGCAACAAAAATCAATAATTCTGTGACTTCAAAATTTAGAAAATAATTTGAAAATATCATATTTGTTTTAGTAAACTTGCGGTGAAATAAGATCATTTATGAAATGTCAATTAATCACCTTGACAACTGTGTCTAATAGCGTCAGGAAAGACAGAAAAAAAGGATTGTTATTCATCAATAAATTAATTGTCAACATTTCATCCCCGCCTGTCTCATCACCAAACCCCTAGCCTCGCATCAATTGCAGTCCTCACGAAGAAAAGAAACGGGTGGCCCAGTCGTCCAATGATGCAATTCGCTGAGCAGAGCTAAGTCCCTTGGGCACAACAGAAACCTATGTTCGCCCCGATTATGTTTCTAGGTTTGTCAGCACCATACCCGTGCTCGTGGGTTTCACCAAAGTGGTAAATGTCTGAGACCTGAATCACTTCGGGCTTTCCTCCCACATCAAGCTGACACGCTGTGATATATCTTGAAACTGTTAACAGCGGCGTTAAACCAACTCACTTACACAGAAACTCTTCCCTTATTTGATGAACTACACCATATACATTGTGGTACCAAACATTCCTGCATTTACAGTATATGTATACAGATGTCTTCAACAATAATAAGAATAAACTATACCAAATCAATTGTCTCCAGCTTCACATTTCAAACAAATATGGATGACAAACTAATAATTAACAAACTGTTAATTCATCAACTACGGTGAAACCGCCACCACTAACCTGCTGGCTACACACTTGACCTTCTTCTCCAGTTTAGCTGTGAGGTGTCGTTTACAAATAGAACACCTGAAACAGATGGGGTCTAAAGAAATATCTGACATCAACATATTATAACGCTATACACATCTTGAAAATAAATATGAACAAGAGTCATCCGAATGTCGGCCTCTTGCATATACGAGTATGCAAATTGTTCATTAATCAACGTCGGACCGACACACGTTGTTAATTTGGTGATTGGCCTTCAGGAAGGTAGTTTATCCTTTTAATATGAGACTGTCACTTCCTACAGTTTTGTGAACCATATGCCATGCTGCAAAGAGGTACAGGAAAGGACAGACTAAGAAGTCTGTCATACCCGATAGTTCCACCAAATTAACAACGCGTGTTGGTCCGACGTTGATTGATGAACAATTTGCATACTCGTATATGCAAGAGGACGACATATGGTTCTCAGTAGGAAGTGACAACTTGGAGACGATGGCTTACAGTATATACAGTTTTACTTTATACTTGAAGATATATACATACAAAAGACACTATGTGCCAGGTCAGCACAAAGTGGTAGTGGTTGTTGTCTAGGTGCCCCGGAGCACCCAGCCTAACCCTAGCTAGGCTAAGGGTAAGACCTTTCTTTTTCTCCTTCTTTCAATCTCTCTGGACCAAGGCTTATATAGCCAAGGTCACCTGACATTTAGTAAGTAATAAATATAAATGTAAACAGTAATTTATCAGCAGGATGGCAGACGGTCGATGTACACACAAAAATTAACAATTAGGATTAGCATCTTATAAATAACAGCAATTAAATGTTTCAAGGCATATAGATGTCATGGCTCCAGGGTAATGAGCCTTTGCAATTAAATGTTCTTCAGACAATGGGTCTCATAAATCAGTCGCTATGACAATATTTTCATGGAAACGACAAAAATATAAAATTCTAAAAATCTCTAAATAGCAAAAGGCACTTCTTCTGAGCCTGTTTGTAAGTGTACCAAGTTTTGTGAAGCTAGGTTGTACGGTTTAGGAAATATGCTCCGGACAAGACCAGTACCCTCAAATTTCCTAAGTTCATCATATTTGCATGGAAACGACAAAAATATAAAATTCTAAAAATCTCTAAATAGCAAAAGGCACTTCTTCTGAGCCTGTTTGTAAGTGTACCAAGTTTTGTGAAGCTAGGTTGTACGGTTTAGGAAATATGCTCCGGACAAACAATGATTACAGACGGACAGACGGACGGACGGACAGACATACTGATGGCTATATCCCCCCCTCATTATAGGTCGGGGGGATAATAAAGTTAGTGAAGAGAATTTATGAATTTGCCTATTGCTATTTCCATTCTTTCATCTACAGTCATGCCCCGCTTATACGGACTTCAGATATCCAGAAACCTCTGTTCCAGGACGATTTTCATTCAAAACGAAATAATTACTATATAAATTTACCCATATATCTGGAAATTCAGTTTCCGGAACCGGACGGTCATTTTCATACACAAAACACTGAAATGCACACAAAATTGTCTCACTTATCCGGACAATACACTTCCGCTGGTGGTAATCCTTCCGCTGTTGGTAATTCTTTGATTCGTGAGAAGTTAATTAACCAAGTGACACTGAAGTTACGTTTGAGACGAGCTTGTTTATTGTACATGTAATCCCCTTCGATAAATATGGCGTCTGTGGAGGTCAGAGGTCAAAGTCGTGTAAGGATGGGCTGTCAACCAGCGAAACGTAAGTGACACGCAGTTACTGCACGCGAAAAAAAGGGAAATTTGTCTGTTTAAAGAAAAACACCCGTCAGCAAGTTTAGAAACCATCAGTAAGCATTATGGCACTGTATTTGGACATACCATAGGAAAATCGACAATTGGTGACAGTTCAAACTTCCATGACAGACTTTTTGAAATGTGTATGAATAAAGATTGAGTGGATGTATCTGTTTGCTCTGTCATCTGTCATAAGTTGCATAATTGAAGGGAAGTAACACTTCCAGTAAGAAGCTGGTTTCAGTTATACGGAAATTTGTTTATACGGACGAATTGTGAAATGACGCAAGTGTCCGTATAAACGAGGCACGACTGTATCAGTGTTAACTACCCCTGGACTCTCATTTGCCCAGTGTCCATTGCCTATTATCTACCTATGACAACTTAAGTACTGGCTTCCATACTATCAGCGCTTATTACTGTAAAGTGTTGGCTTCCATTGCCTATTATCTACCTATGACAACTTAAGTACTGGCTTCCATACTATCAGCGCTTATTACTGTAAAGTGTTGGCTTCCATTGCATATTACCTATCTATGATACTTCAGTACTGGCTTCCATACTATCAGCGCTTATTACTGTAAAGTGTTGGCTTCCATTGCCTATTACCTATCTATGATACTTCAGTACTGGCTTCCATACTATCAGCGCTTATTACTGTAAAGTGTTGGCTTCCATTGCCTATTACCTATCTATGATACTTCAGTACTGGCTTCCATACTATCAGCCCTAATTACTGTAAAGTGTTGGCTTCCATTGCCTATTACCTATCTATGATACTTCAGTACTGGCTTCCATACTATCAGCGCTTATTACTGTAAAGTGTTGGCTTCCATTGCCTATTACCTATCTATGATACTTCAGTACTGGCTTCCATACTATCAGCGCTTATTACTGTAAAGTGTTGGCTTCCATTGTCTATTACCTATCTATGATACTTCAGTACTGGCTTCCATACTATCAGCCCTAATTACTGTAAAGTGTTGGCTTCCATTGCCTATTACCTATCTATGATACTTCAGTACTGGCTTCCATACTATCAGCGCTTATTACTGTAAAGTGTTGGCTTCCATTGCCTATTACCTATCTATGATACTTCAGTACTGGCTTCCATACTATCAGCGCTTATTACTGTAAAGTGTTGGCTTCCATTGCCTATTACCTATCTATGATACTTCAGTACTGGCTTCCATACTATCAGCGCTTATTACTGTAAAGTGTTGGCTTCCATTGCCTATTACCTATCTATGATACTTCAGTACTGGCTTCCATACTATCAGCGCTTATTACTGTAAAGTGTTGGCTTCCATTGCCTATTACCTATCTATGATACTTCAGTACTGGCTTCCATACTATCAGCGCTTATTACTGTAAAGTGTTGGCTTCCATTGCCTATTACCTATCTATGATACTTCAGTACTGGCTTCCATACTATCAGCGCTTATTACTGTAAAGTGTTGGCTTCCATTGCCTATTACCTATCTATGATACTTCAGTACTGGCTTCCATACTATCAGCGCTTATTACTGTAAAGTGTTGGCTTCCATTGCCTATTACCTATCTATGATACTTCAGTACTGGCTTCCATACTATCAGCGCTTATTACTGTAAAGTGTTGGCTTCCATTGCCTATTACCTATCTATGATACTTCAGTACTGGCTTCCATACTATCAGCGCTTATTACTGTAAAGTGTTGGCTTCCATTGCCTATTACCTATCTATGATACTTCAGTACTGGCTTCCATACTATCAGCGCTAATTACTGTAAAGTGTTGGCTTCCATTGCCTATTACCTATCTATGATACTTCAGTACTGGCTTCCATACTATCAGCGCTTATTACTGTAAAGTGTTGGCTTCCACAATCTCATTAAAATCAGATCTTAGTTCTTGCTACCGCTAAACAAAGATCGGAGGACATCCCATTACGGGTCACGTCAGACCGAAGTTTCAAGAACTTTGACTGAACAATGGAATGACTAAAAAGAAGTCGGCAATAGCCAATCAGAAGGCAGCTTAATCGAGCTTTACGGCACGAGTTTCAAACTGGCGACTACGCTTCAAAACATATTTTGACATATACTTGAGTAAAGAATTAAAAACTGAACAAAAGAACATTCTGGAATGGCTAATAGATGGTCTGGATTGTATGAATACAGACATAAAGCTCATAACTGTCGTTCGGAATACCTGTGTGGTTTTCTTCAAGTTGCACGATAAAAAATCACATTCCAACTGTCAAGTTCGTGATCTGCTCACGATGCTCTGATTGGTCAGATGAAAGGTCGTTCTGATATAACCCATAATGTTATCTTATTAATTTTGTTGTCCTAACATACATATAATATATACTCTCTGTCTTGTGGTATTTATTCACCTGATGAAGGAGTAAGCATGTACTCCGAAACGTTGACATCCATAAATTATCTTCCTTATGTATATCACGTCTAAATGCCTTTCAAAGACAGGAATAAAGTTAGGTTGGAACAAGTATTTGTCACAGAGTGACGAAATATCCCCCGCCATATACACCATAGTACCAAATATGAAGACAATCCAGCGATTAGTTCTTGAGATATTGTGGCAACACCGTTTTCCAACTCCAAAAACAGATTTGCCAGCTGTGACCTTGAAAATGGGGTCAAGGTCACCAAATCTGACAGGTGTATGCGGTGTCTGTATATACACTATAGTTCCAAATATGAAGACAATCCAGCGATTAGTTCTTGAGATATCGCGGCAACACCGTTTTCTAACTCCAAAAGCAGATTTGCCTGCTGTGACCTTGAAAATGGGGTCAAGGTCACCAAAACCGACTGGTGTCTGCGGTGTCTGTATATACACCATAGTTCCAAATATGAAGACAATCGAGAGGTTTAGTTCTTGAGATATCGCGGCAACACCGTTTTCCAACTCTAAAAGCAGATTTGCCTGCTGTGACCTTGAAAATGGGGTCAAGGTCACCAAAACCGACTGGTGTCTGCGGTGTCTGTATATACACCATAGTTCCAAATATGAAGACAATCCAGTGTTTAGTTCTTGAGATATCGCGGCAACACCGTTTTCCAACTCTAAAAGCAGATTTGTCTGCTGTGACCTTGAAAATGGGGTCAAGGTCACCAAAACCGACTGGTGTCTGCGGAGTCTGTATATACACCATAGTTCCAAATATGAAGACAATCCAGTGTTTAGTTCTTGAGATATCGCGGCAACACCGTTTTCCAACTCTAAAAGCAGATTTGTCTGCTGTGACCTTGAAAATGGGATCAAGGTCACCAAAACCGACTGGTGTCTGCGGAGTCTGTATATACACCATAGTTCCAAATATGAAGACAATCCAGTGTTTAGTTCTTGAGATATCGCGGCAACAAACAGGTGGGACGTACGGACGGACGGACGTACGGACGGTCGTGAATACTATATCCCCCGCTTCGCGCTTTCGCGCGGCGGGGGATAAAAAAACAGTAATTAAATCTTATAAGAATAACTTGGCTCCCTACACAGAGGCAAATCCTGGAATTTCAAATAGGGGGTGGATAAGCACCACACACTAAGGGTGTTATGATACACATACCTAATGTATTAATACACACAATGATACTTGCGGCATGATATGATACGTATTGCGATACTGAATTTGTACTGTATTTTGTAGAAATTGTGTATGTTCCATGTGGCCTGGTTAACAAGAGGTTGCAGTCAGCTAGTTTGTGTTTAACTTTCTACTTGCTGGAGTAGCCACGTTACCATGGTTATTGCAAAATAAAATAAATATTAATACCATATTTTACCACATGCCAGAAAATTTTAACCAATCTCATTAAAATCAGATCTTAGTTCTCGCCACTGCTAAACAAAGAGGGGTCACGTCATAATGACCTTTCATCCGACCAATCAGAGCGTCGCTTACCAGATCATGAAAGTGACAGTTGGAATGTGTTTTCTAATCATCCAACCTCGAACACAGGGTATTCCGAACGATAGTTAGAGGCTTTATGACTGAATCCATACAATCTAGGCCATCTATTAACCATTCCAGAATGTTCTTCAGTTCATTTTTCAAATTTTAAATTTTAAATTTGTCAAAATATGTTCAGAAACGTAGTCACCAGTTTGAAACTGGTGCCATAAAGCATGAGAAAGCTGCCTTCTGATTGGCTAATGTCACTACTTGTCAGTCATTCCATTTGTCAGTCAAATAATGTTTTTAAAAATCCCAAATTCTCAAAAGGACCAGTTCACCACTATTTGGTTAAGATATCACTCATGTTTTTTTTAGTTCTGCTCCGGAAACGAAACGTGACAGATGGATGGACAACTTTATCCCACTTCCATTTCATGGCAAGGGATAAAAATACTGTAACCTACTACTTACTTGAAGAGGGAGACAGCACTCTCGAGAGAGTCGGGGGATGTATTCTCCACATCAAACAGCTTCTCCAACTTCTTGCTGAACAGCTTGCTGTGGTAAATACAAGACAGACATTCAGATGAAGAAGTTAGCGAGAGCATGCATATGTATGCAGTTTTACATCACAGGCTGCCATAGTGCAGCAATATCCCGACAACATACAACAGAGCTTCTTATAAGCTGCATATTTTCACAAAATACACATAATTAATCACAACTCATATAAATGCTGCGGTGTATAAGTACGCATGAAAAGATTTTAAAAGCCCCAATAGTATAACAACACTATGCGTAGTTACAAAGGGTGTGAGGTATACCGGTATATCGGTAAATTGGCGTTCACTCTTTCCACGGCAGGTATCACAATATCATATTTGAATGCTCGATACATCAGGTGATTTCAAATAGCGATTTTTATCACGTGTTTAATGTGATACATTTGCCAAATACGTGTACCTTTGAAATGTTTCTGTAATTCCAAAATGCAAATTTGCATTTCTGGAGTTCATCTATAGCAGTGGTGTAACACCAAGTCACCCCTGTCTCATGCATACAGTCAAGACTTGTTAATCTGACACTCGTTAATCTGACAATCGGCTTTATCTGACACTAATGATGGGAACTGATGCTATTTAGACCCGTTAATCCGACAGTCTCGCTCACCGACTCTGACATACCTAATTTGCAACAATTTACTGAAATCACTCATTAATAAGTCTCGTTAATCCGACACAGTGATCAGCTTAGTCTGTGGTCATCTGTCCGCGAGTAAACAGCCAGTGTTTTAATGCGAGACGAGTCGGCTGGTAGCTGCATATTACAAAGCTGCAGAGATAAACTTTGCTTAACAATTAACAATTAATGCTTTATATAAAGAAAACAGGATTAATCACATGCTTAGATTACATCAATCTCATTAAAATCAGATACAAGTTCTCGCTATCACCGAGGACATCCCATTACAGGTCACGTCAGAAGAACCTTTCGCGAACTATGACCAACGAACGTTGGTACTACTTAATTTCGTTTATCCAACATACTCATTTATCCAAAATTATCATATGCAACAAGCCATGTCGGATTAACGGGACTTGACTGTATTTATTAAATGAGTAAACATTATGTTGTACCAGCATCTTGTTTTGTTCAATTCATGAACTTCAGTTCCTACCTTATGTATCAGATTTCTTCTGAATTCAAAATTTAGGATATACAATATATTGTGATACATATCACAATATGGCCTTGTGCATTATAAAACACTGTTATACACTTTAAATTGAGTGAGTGAGTTGGGTTTAACACCACTTTTAACAGTATTCCAGTTATATCACGCCGTGACAGTTTTATGTGGGAGGAAAGCCCGAAGTGATGCAGGTTTCAGACGTTTACCACTTTGGCGAAACCCACGAGCACGGGTATGGTGCTGACAAACCTAGAAACATAATCGCAGTGAACCGGGATTCGAACCCACAATCAGAGGTTTCTGACGTGCCCAAGGGACGCAACTCTGCACAGCGAATTGCAGAGCCTTAGACGACTGGGCCAACTGTGCCCCCTACATGGACAGATGCAGTGACCAAATATTGATGTAAACAAAAGCACTTGCAATAATTATTTTGCATATATCAACAATGCATGATCAGCTGTGTAAAGAAAATCTGGATGGCAACTGTAAAACTAGACCGCCAATTTATTAGACTTACAACTCTGGCTGCCTGGCTGATATGTCTTATCTTAAGTTTAAACACTATATAGAGACACACGATATGCAATGAACTAGAAAAGCCACTAAAAAAGTGTCACAAAAGTTTCACCTCTTAAACTTGTCTTTCCTGTCCTTGATCTCATCTGCTTCAGAATGTGTGAACAGGTCGGCAATTCTAAGAAAGAATAAATAAATTGGTTTATTGGATGTTTGTTTGTTGTTTTACGCTGAACTCAGCAATATTCCAGCTATATGACGGCGGTCTGTTAATAATCGACCAGACAATCCAGTGATTGATATCATGAGCATCGATCCACGCAATTGGGATCGATGACCGTGCATCAACCAAGTCAGTGAGCCTGACCATCCGTTAGTCGCCTTTTACGACAAGCATAGTCGCCTTTTACGGCAAGCATGGGTGCGTGCGTGCGTGTGTGCGTGCATGCGTGCGTGAGTTTGGTTTAACGCCACTTTGAACAGTATTTTAATTATATTATGCCTTGTCGGCTTGATGTGGGAGGAAAGCCCAAAGCCCAAGAGCCAGGTCTTGCAAGTGAAACCCACGAGCGTGGGTATGGTGCTGACAAACCTGGAAATGTAATCAGGACAAACCTGGGATTCAAACCCACGATGATAGGTGCCTGGCATGTCCAAGGGACACAACTCTGCCGCCTCAGACAAATGGGCCCTAGCGCCCCACAATAGTATGATGAATGAATGACATGGTGGAAGGTAGCACACTGAAGGACTATTCCCATGATGCTCATGTACAGACCATGGGAGATAACTCTTAAAACAGGACTTGAAAGAACCAAATGAAAAACTAATGAAGGCATGTGATCCATTGATTCATGGTTTTATCTAGACCAGCTCAGAAGTTGATATTCAGCCCCAAGTCTGCAGCAAAATGTAGTTATAGTTATAACTAGTTAAAATTATAGTTATAACTAATGGATGACTTGGTCAAGGTGACTTGTATTTTATTGATAACAAGACCAATAAAGAGTGAGTGAGTGAGTGAGTGAGTGAGTGAGTGAGTGAGTGAGTTTGGTTTAACGCCGCTTTTAACAGCATTCCAGTTATATCACGACGTGTCAGCTTAATGTGGGAGGAAAGACCGAAGTGATGCAGGTCTCAGACGTTTACCATTTTGGCGAAACCAACGAGCACAGGTATGGTGCTGACAAACCTAGAAACATAATCGCGGTGAACCGAGATTCAAACCCACAATCATAGGTTTCTGGCGTGCCAAAGGGCTGCAACTCTGCACAGCGAATCGCAGCGCCTTAGACGACTGGGCCACCAGTGCCCCCATACCAAAAAGGAGCATGTGGTTGATTGTACATTATAGCATTAAATCAGGAGACAAACATTATGAGATAAACATACAGTGTTTTCAATGTAGACCAAGGTTACCTGTAGATTTAACCACGCTAAATTGAATTTGGAACCGAAAACGCAGCATGAGGTTTCAAATGTTAAATTTGGCGCAGTTAAATCTGCAGGTAGATTGCTCTACAATGAAAACACAGTAGGTTTATCTCCAATCTACATGACTAAATAAAACACAAACTCTTTGGTGCTAGCAAATATATTGAGTAAAGCGGCATGGGTTGAGTCCAGTGTTTTGAGTGGGTTGTCGATCTCAATTACGGAATCACCGACAACAAACAAAACAAAATGTTACCATTAAGACGCCATATCGCTCCTTGTGACACAAAAGAGATGATATTTAAATATGAATACAGACAATGACTGCAAAAAGTACTATTCTATGGATATTAGCTTCAGTGGTGATGTGGCTGTCAAATTGGCTGTTTCAATCAGATGGGGTTCACTGTGATTTGATACCTCTGATTGACCAATCAGAATCAAGTAATGTCCAAATTCAGGGTAGAATACAATGTTAAGGTATCTCTGATATTAAGAAAATAAGAACTTAAATTACAATTTTTCCCAATTTTGCTGTCAAGGGCAGTCAGTTTTAAATCCTCTCTAACTCCCTGCTAGTTTGATGGCTCACTGTCTACAGGTCGCAGCCTTGTATATGCTCGACAAACTCTGAACATCGCATGCCACACATACCTTGTGACGAGCTTGTCGTTGATGCAGTTCATATTACAGTTGGTGGCGACGATGGAGGTCATTTGCTTGTGGCAGTACTCGATACATTCTTGAACCTACAACATGGCACACGCTAGAAACACACAACTCTTACAGAGTTTCTCAGTCCCATTACTTCCTGTGGAAACAAATTATGTTTGAAGATTTTCTCAAACCAACAATAACTTGATAGACACATGGACAGCCCATATGCTGAATACAGACTATCTGGACGTATTCAACAGACAAAGATACAACCTAAACATCTAAATATTCTGCTAGTGGCATCAGAACTTTATTCTTGGTAATATCTTCTTGGAACTTTTGACCAGATGTGACCATGCTGTTCCCTCAACAAGGAAAGATATCGCCTTCCTAAGATTGTATTTGTTTGTTGTTTTAATGCCCACTCAGCAATATTACAGCTATATGACCACTGTCTGTAAATGATCGAGTCTCAACCAGACAATCCAGTGATTGACATCATGAGCATTGATCTATGCAGTTGGGATACGATGACATGCATCAACCAAGTCAGAGAGACTGACCACCCGATCCCGTTAGTCGCCTCTTACAACAAGTTTGGGTTGCTAAAAAGACCAATTCTGACCCTGAGTTTCATGGGGCCCTTCCTAAGAAAGTGTAGGGGTACAGAGACGTAGAGCTGGGATAGCTGCCTATTCCATCACACTCATTAACCTCAAAGTATTAACATGAACACAAAGATATAATTTTCAGACTTACTAAAACTAAAGATAAAAAAACAACATTTCAAATCAACATAACAAAAAGCAAACAAAAAGATGTTTTAAAAAGTATGTTTTCATTCATTTAGCTTTTTCATTTCTTTTTCACTCTGGTCAAATTAAGGGGAGACTAGAATAGAAGAAGAAATCAAATTGGCTTGACTGTACAAGAACTGACTACATTTATCAACGTACCAGATTGTCCATTTTCAGAAAGTCGGATGAGATGAGAATGGAAACCACATTGTTTGGTTCTGAAAACAAACAATGTCAAACAACTTGTCTGGTCATACATAACAATTTGTTCTCAAGCAATGACTTGCATACATTTATAGGGATGAGCAAGTTGCAGAACACTTCTTGCTCTCTGGGGAGTGGTAATATCAACATTAACAATTTCACATCAATTCGATAATCTATTGTCAAGAATATGTTATCAAGACCAATATTGCCAAACCAGGGGACCATTTATTGCTCAATAAATAACTTGAACGTGATTTGATTGGCTAACCAAGCTGTTTTTACGGTTATGTGTCCACATATCTAAACAGAATACAGCCACGCCTACTATTGGACAGTTTCAGGGATTTTGTATTGTTGTCAACAATAGAGCTGTTATGATTCACACACATATTCAGTGAATCAACCCGCATCTCTTCATGAATTGAATTCTATATTTGTGACCACTAGAATTGAATATGTACAATTTTTTTGTAAAGAAATTATTTATCAAAATGAGATATGCAAAACGGAATATATTCAAGCCATGCAGTAGCGTAACTTGTGCCAGTTTTCCAAGGCCCCTTATGGTACTGTCAACCAAAACATGATTCTGTAAGCAGCATTGTCCCGATGTATTGCTTGTTTGCTTCACAAAAATATCACTGAAATGTTTCAACCTAAGCAATAACATGACATACATTATGTACATTTTTAATAAACTCAAGACTTACACTGACACGATGTTTTTTCCCCCAACACAAAGACAATACCAGCTGATTATCGTGAGCACGTAACACCAGAAGTAACTTGTTATTGTATTCGTGAATGAGTTTTCATATTCGTTACCGTATATTTGTGATACGTATTATACTAACCTCATAGTGTATTCGTTGCAGCCCAAGTCAACAGTCATTTTTTTGTTATAAATTAACAAGCAGTCTGTGAAATTATTATTGTTGATGTATTTATTTATAAGAATTGACTTTAACATGTTTTTGCATTTATGAAGTTAATGAGATAAAAACTGGTATTGACACTTTGCACAAATTCGTTTGTATTTATCATGGGCCATTGATCTGGCAATCTGGACCAATGTCACATGATGAACAGTCTGTGTTACTCACCAAGTCTTGGCTTGTCCGGGACGTCTTTTGTTGACCTCTTGACATATTTCATGAGCCAATCAAAGATCTGCACATCACAGTGGACGGATATGTCCACCTCCTCCCAGCGCTGGGCGTCGGTCGACAGGTACTCCGCGAAGTACTTCATCTCCTTCACTAACAGGTCTCGGGGACAGTTGAAGTCCTTCTTCACTGAAACACATGGCCGGTTATGTAGGGATTACTCTACGAGTGGCTGTCAGGTACCATATATCTTACAAGTTGTTTCAAAACATATCTTATAAATGAGCGAAAGTTTCCTACACAAGTTAAAATCGTACCATTGAATCGAGTCATAGTTTATCAATTCTCAAGATCACATTAATAAATAAAACAAGGGTCATGAGTGCTGTCAGCCGACCTATACATACCTCGTGTGACCCTCCACAAAAAAAGTTTCAGCCATATTAACATTCTAAAACCATAAAGTTTGGACACAGACTTAGGTGAATTCGATTGAAACACGAGAAACCTTTCAATAAATTAAAATCAGGAAAGTAGTCTCCCCTAAGGTTGTAGCCATTGGAGTAGCCAATCACAGACTTGGAATTCAATCTCATACGATTGATACCAGTTATATCAATTGGGTTTTTCCACCTATAGGTTTGTAAGAAAGTCCAGTAAACAAATGCCAGGATCATGTGTGTAAAGTGACTATGCTTCGAAATCGGGATTATTATGTGTCCAGAGCCGTATTCCACAAAGTGATCTTGGCGCATAAGTGATCGTAACTCCCATACCTTTATGGCAGACTTTTTACAGTCGTAGTGCTAAAGTGATCGTAATTCCCAAAGTAGACTTAAGACAGTCGTAGGGCCAAAGTGATCGTAACTCTCATACTTTTACATAATAGACTTACGACAGTTGTAGGGCTAAAGTGAGCGTAACTCTCATACTTTTACATAATAGACTTACGACAGTCGTAGTGCTAAAATGATCTTAACATCCACACCTTTACATAATAGACTTACGACCGTCGTTGGGCTAAAGTGATCGTAACTCCAATACCTTTACATAATAGACTTACGACAGTCGTAGTGCTAAAATGATCTTAACATCCACACCTTTACATAATAGACTTACGACCGTCGTTGGGCTAAAGTGATCGTAACTCCAATACCTTTACATAATAGACTTACGACAGTCGTAGTGCTAAAATGATCTTAACTCCCATACCTTTACATAATAGACTTACGGCCGTCGTAGGGCTAAAGTGATCGTAACTCCCATACTTTTACATAATAGACTTACGACAGTTGTAGGGCTAAAGTGATCGTAACTCCCATACCTTTACATAATAGACTTACGGCCGTCGTAGGGCTAAAGTGATCGTAACTCCCATACTTTTACATAATAGACTTACGACAGTTGTAGGGCTAAAGTGATCGTAACTCCCATACCTTTACATAATAGACTTACGACAGTTGTAGGGCTAAAGTGATCGTAACTCCCATACCTTTACATAATAGACTTACGGCAGTTGTAGGGCTCAAGTGATCGTAACTTCCAAACCATTACAGAGTAGACTTACGACAGTTGTAGGGCTCAAGTGATCGTAACTTCCAAACCATTACAGAGTAGACTCACGACAGTCGTAGGGCTGAGATTGCTCTGTGGAACTAGGTCCATATAAAGATGTAATTGGTGCCTAATCAAGTCTCTGAAATAGTTGGATAATCACTGCTAGATTGACATACTAGTATAACATAAGAGTTCCAGACAAAGAAGATTTTGAATAATTTGACTCAAACTTGCTGGGACTGCTAACTGAGTCTAGTGCCCTGAGTGTAGTGCCCCTTTAATGTGCTCTATATGCCCTAAATAATCTTCAGCCAATTAACTGATAAAATGTAGCAGAAAGACCTCAGTACTCACAACTCTTGGCTTCATCACAGACATGTATCACCATGATGGGTCTGAAACAAAAGAACAGGCCACTACTCCCACCGTACAATGATGCACTGTTAATACTGACACTACCAGACCTCCAGATATGCTGTATATTTGTGTAAAATACACAAAATATATCACCATTACCCTATAACAATGATTGATTGATTGGTTTGTTGTTTAATGCCACACTTAGCAATATCCCGGCTATATGACGGCGGTCTGTAAATAATCGTGTCTGGACCAGACAATCCAGTGACTGTCATGAGCATTGATCCATGCAATTGGGATACGATGACATGTGTCTTCCAAGTTAGCAAGTCTGACCACCCGATGCTGTTAGTCGCCTCTTACGACAAGCATAGTCGCCTTTTCGGGAAAGCATGGGTTGCTGAAGACCTATTCTACCCCAGATCTTCACAGGTCCTATTAACAATGATTAAGATTTAGGTTCTTGTGTACAAATATACATGTAAAATATCAAAAACCCAGGGGTACAACAACACTGTGTACCCAGGGTTTTCAGTTTGCAGGCCAATATTCCCTTACAGATGTTTATTTGCTGGTTGAAAGTGCATCACATGTAGTGAATAATGCTCACCATGTTCCCACCATGGAACACCCCTGTAGACGTACCTACCATGGAACACCCCTGTAGATGTACCTACCATGGAACGCCCCTGTAGATATACCTACCATGGAACGCCCCTGTAGATATACCATGGAACGCCCCTTTAGATATACCTACCATGGAACGCCCCTGTAGATATACCTACCATGGAACACCTCTGTAGATGTACCTACCATGGAACGCCACTTTAGATATACCTACCATGGAACGCCCCTGTAGATATACCATGGAACGCCCCTGTAGATATACCTACCATGGAACACCCCTGTAGATATACCTACCATGGAACGCCCCTGTAGATATACCATGGAACGCCCCTGTAGATATACCTACTATGGAACGCCCCTGTAGATATACCATGGAACGCCCATGGAGATATACAATGGAACGCCCCTGTAGATATACCTACCATGGAATGCCCCTGTAGATATACCTACCATGGAACACCCCTGTAGATATACCTACCATGGAACACCCCTGTAGATGTACCTACCATGGAACAGCCCTGTAGATGTACCTACCATGGAACACCCCTGTAGATATACCTACCATGGAACACCCCTGTAGATATACCTACCATGGAACACCCCTGTAGATATACCTACCATGGAACGCCCCTGTAGATATACCATGGAACGCCCCTGTAGATATACCATGGAAAGCCCCTGAAGATATACCCAATGGAACGCCCCTGTAGATGTACCATGGAACACCCCTGTATATGGAATGGAACGCCCCTGTAGATATACCATGGAACACTCCGTAGATGTAATGGAACACCCCTGTCGATATACCATGGAACGCCCCTGTAGATATACCCCATGGAACGCCATTGTAGATGTAATGAAACGCCCTTGTAGATATACCATGGAACGTCCCTGTAGATGTACCATGGAACGCCCCTGTAGATGTAATGGAATGCCCCTGTAGATGTACCATGGAACACCCCTGTATATTGAATGGAACGCCCCTGTAGATATACCATGGAACGTCCCTGTAGATGTACCATGGAACGCCCCTGTAGATATACCACGGAACGCCCCTGTAGATATACCATGGAACACCCCTGTAGATGTAATGGAACGCCCCTACAGCTATACCATGAAACGCCCTTGTAGATATACCATGGAATGCCTCTGTTGATATACCTACCCATGTTCTCCATGTTCAGAGTTCTGAGGTTCACCTTTGACCTCTGTGTTTCCTCGTTCTTCTTTCACTCCTGAAAAGTGACAGAGTTCTCTTATCAATCATCATCAATACTTCACAGACATGTTCACACTTCATTCCCTCACTACGCATCAATACTTCACAGACGTGTTCACACTTCATTCCCTCACTACGCATCAATCCATATTGATACTTTGCAATGTTGTCACTGTTTTAACCAACGAATCCTACAATGGCCTGTTTCCAGCAGGAGGGAAATCAGGAGTACCCAGACCAATGAGCACTAAGATTACATTAGACAAGCAGCAGGACAACGTATGAATCATCTGCCATAGCGTTGTGTCTAAGGCGCCGCGAATCGCTGTCCAGAGTTGCTGCCCTTGGGCACGCCAGAAATCGATGATTGTGGGTTTGAAACCCCCGATTATGTTTCAAGGTTTGTCAGCACCATACCCGTGTTTATGGGTTTCACCGAAGTGGTAAACGTCTGAGACCTGCATCACTTCGGGCTTTCCTCCCACCTTTAGCTGACACACCGTGATATAACTGGAATACTGTTAAAAGGAGCATTAAACCCAACTCACTCACTCACTCATGATGTTATCAACAGTCATCTCTTATAATGTCAAAAGTGTAAAAAAAACATTCATAATTTCTGAACTGTAAATTGTTTGAAACCTCATGCAAATATACCTATTAATCAATGTGATATCTTCAAGAAGATAGGTATTCTATCGGTGTACAAGATATATAACTTTAATGAGATTGCGGAGGTCTTGGAAGTTTAGTCGTCTTTGGAATTCAGGCTAGTCCGCGAGCTGAGGACAAGTAAGAAATCCAATGATGATAGTCCTCAATGACTAGTAGCATTTAACACAGTTTTGCCTTGACTTTCAAAAGTAGGTGTCAAGGGGACCCCCAATAATTAATTATAAGGCTCCTGTAAAGTAATGAAATGCTGTAGTGTACTGTACATTTTGAAAGTTACTTTAGAGTTAGGGTCTGGAATGAATCAATCATCAAGCGGACAGTGGTCATGATTGATGGATGAAATAACAGACACCCATAACTGCTCTTGATTCGCTGTGACTATTATTGTGCCTCCCAAGGGATGCATTATTTTACATTTGTGCGTCGCGAAAACCCTGAATTTAAGGCCTATAATAGCAGCTCATACATGGAGGCTGCTGAATGGACAAAGGTGAGGTGAAATGGGGTTCAATGTCGCGTCCACGATTATTGCACTTAAATGTGTGTGTGTGTGGCTGCTTGTACTAGTGCGGACTGATGTCGATTGATAGTGCTAGCCAACTGCGATACCATGCCGCAGTTTAACATGAATACCCCACTCAGACACAGTATAATGACTCCGAGCCATACAGTCCTTGTTTTAGCCCCTTAATACCGAGCGCCAGACAGGGTAACAACAAGTACCATCTTTCAACGTCTTTTGGTATGACGTGGCCTGGGATCGAACCCTGAACCTTCCACTCTCCGGGTGGATGCTCTACCACTAGACCACGGAGGCGGTCCCGAGCGCCAGACAGGGTAACAACAAGTACCATCTTTCAACATATCACACATGTCAGTTTTGCGTTTGAGTGAGTGAGTGAGTGAGTGAGTGAGTGAGAGTGAGTGAGTGAGTGAGTGAGGTTTCATGCCACTTTTAGCAATATTCCAACAATATCACGGCAGAGGACACCAGAAATGGGCTTCACTCATTGTACCCATGTGGGGAATTGAACCCGGGTCTTTGGCTAACAAGTGAATGCTTTAACCAGTAGGCTACCCGACCACCCCGCTTTGCTTGTGAGAACACAGGCTTCACCAACACTGACCTTTCTGCCTGTCGGAGCCAGGTCTGCTGGATATAGAGCTAGTTGTCTTGCTAGTACTGTCTGACTCAGTCGGGTTCACTTGGCTGCTGCTACTGGACGTCTGTAGTGGGAAGGTCTTCCCAAAGTTGGCGTAGGACAGACCAGTCCCACTACTCAGCAGCTCCTGGTACCTTCTAGAACACTGCCAGGGAAATATACTGTGTAAAGCATTGACTCTCACCTGGGTCGCACATATAGAGAAACATCTTTGAAAAAAAAAAGAGTAAGAAGGCAAGCGTCTCTGTTTATTTTAAGTTTATATATTCTAATTTGTCTAGGTTAGTTGTTGTTTTATGAAAATAAATATGAGATTAATAAAAACAAGAGGCTGAACCTTTTGGAGTCATTCATCAAGGGAACATTAAAGCATGCTTATGATTATATATCTTAAATTCAGCAAAGAGTTTTATCCATCAGGCTTCAAAGTTGCAGCTAAAACGGTCGCTATTGTGACCTAAATTTCAATTTGTCTAATGTCTAAGTTTCAGACATAGCCAAATGACTACCTTCCAAAATATCTCGTAGCAACTAAATTCTATTGCTACACATATGTAGACGTAACAATGAATAAAAGCTGACCTTGGAAAATGCAAAAATTCCTCCTAAAGTCGACAATGAACCAAAATACATAAATATTAATGTAATTAGTATTTTATTTTAGTTGACAATGCTCATTTGATAAGCAAGGATATACCTAGTATATAATCTGGTGACATAAATTGCATCAATGTTCGAGTCACAAATAACAAAAATCTAGTACAGTTTCCACTAATTTACAATTCCATGACTAGTGCTATGACTTATTACATGTTATAATAGTTATTTGATAAAAGATGCTTTCAAATGCTTTTGGCTACCTACAATATTGGCTTGACTTCTTGATTTTACCACTGGCTACCTGGAGAAAATACTTATAGCCAAATGGCTTGGTAAAATTTTAATCTTTGAGGCCTGCCCATGACAGTGAAAGCTCTTCTTAAGAATGTTCAGAAGTGATGGCTGCCAATCAAAAAGCCTACTCCACAAGTCAGACTAAGATACAGAATACCGGACACCATTTTGGAAAGGAATGAGGAAAAGCTTCTTGCTTCAGTTGCTGGGGACCACGGGATAAACCCCCTTCAATATCTACAAACTGTGTTGTTTCGGTTTCTTCCAATATCATTTATTTTGTTTTTTTGTATGTTTGTTGTTTAACAAAATCCTCAGCAATACTCTACCTATATGATGCCTGTCTGTAAATAATCAAGTCTGGAAACGACAATCAAGTGATTGACATCATGAGCATCGATTCACGCAATTGGGATACGATGACATGCATCAACCAAGTCAGCAAGCATGACAACCTGATCCATTTAGTTGCCTCTTGCAACAAGCAGATGTTGATAGGGGCCAATTCTTACCCTGAATCCCCAAGAGTGACTCCCACATTGACTGGCAGTGATATAGCTAAATGACTGTTCAAAATGTCCCTTTGGGAAGTAATTGAGTTATGTGGGAGACAGGCCATAGACATAGGCCGCTTTTATGAAACCCAGGAGCACTGCGTCCTCATATCATGGATCATAACCGAGTGTGCTCCCACTCAACAAGATGTTTTCTTCCACACTCTGCACATCATACATCGGATCCAATCATGACTAAGGGAGGCAACTCTGCACAGTTAATTGAGTTATGGCAGAATGTGCTTGTCGTATTTCACACAGCGCATTACCTGACACTCAGCACAACTCAGCACAACACAGCACAACACAGCACAACTCAGCACAACATACCTGTGTTGCTGTAGTTCCGGGAATAAGACGGGCAATTGCTTCCCAGTTTTTTGTTTGGAGGTCATTGAAGTCTGATGATGCAATCAGGGTTTTAAGAATGAGGTCGAGAGTCACTCCGACACGAGATGATGGTTCTATTGTTGACATGGTCAATCTGAAAACATATTGATATTCTCTTTATGTCACAAATTGGTGGTGACACCCGAAAATGTTATGATAGAGTGATTAGGCTTAATGCTACTGTGAACAGCTATCAATCTCATTAAAATCAGACCTTAGTTCTCGCTACCGCTAAACAAAGATCTGATGACATCCCATTAGGGGTCACGTCAGAACGACCTTTCATCCGACCAATGAGAGCGTCGCTTACCAGATCATGAAAGTGACAGTCAGAATGTGATTTCTAATCATACAACCTCGAAAACTTTAACACAGGGTATTCTGAACGATAGTTACAGGTTTAATGACTGATTCCATACAATCTAGACCATCTATTAGCCATTCGAGAATGTTCTTTTGTTTAGGTTTCAAATTTGTAATCGAGAATCTGTCAAAATATGTTTCAAAGCGTAGTTGCCAATTTGAAATTAGTGCCGTAAAGCACGAGAAAGCTGTCTTCTGATTGGTCATTCTATTGGTCGGTCAAAGTTCGCGCAAGGTCGGCCTGACACGACCCGTAATGGAATCTCAGATCTTTGTTTAGCAGTAGCAAGAACTAAGGTCTGATTTTAATGAGATTAAACAGCTATATCATGGCATGTCATCTTAATATGGGAGGGAATGCCTGAAATGATTGTAGAAGGCCTTGTAAGTGTGTCACTTGTGCCTACGGTAATCCATTTGATTTTCTGCAATAAAATATGTTTAAATCAAATCAAGTGATCCAGGTTTTAGACATTACCTGCAACACCAAATGGTAGCTGCAGAACACATGAAACATTGGCATACCCCAAATGGAACAAGTCGTGAGTGAGTTAGTTAGGTGTAATGCCAGTTTGAACAGTATTTCAATCTCATTAAAATCAGATCTTAGTTCTCGCTACCGCTAAAGAAAGATCTGAGGACGTCCAATTACGGGTCACTTTAGCCTGACCTTTCATCCAACCAATCAGAGCGTCGCTTACCAGATCCTGAAAGTGACAGTCGGAATGTGTTTTCTTATCATGCAACCTCGAGATATTTAACACGGGGTATTCCGAACGACAGTTACAGGTTTTATGATTATATCCATACAATCTAGGCCATCTATAAGCCATTCCAGAATGTTGTTTTGGTCAGTTTTAAATTTTTAAATTGAGAATTAGTCAAAATATGTTTCGAAGCGTAGTCGCCAGTTTGAAACTAGTGCCGTAAAGCTTGAGATAGCTGCCTTCTGATTGGCAAATGTCGATTTCTTGTCAGTTATTTCATTGGTCGGTCAATGTTCCCGAAAGGTTGTTCTCATGTGACCCGTAATTGGATGTCCTCAGATCTTTGGTTAGCGGTAGTGAAAGCTAAGATCTAATTTTAATGAGATTGAACAGTACTTCAGATATATCACAGCGTGTGATGCAAGTCTTAGCCATCTGTCTCTTTGGTGAAACCACAAGCATGGGTATAGTGCTGAAAAACCTAAAACCTAATCAGGCGAACCGGAATTCGTACCTCCAATCATAGGTTTCTGGCGTTCCCAAGGGAGGTAACTCCGCACAGCGAATTGGGGAGTCTTAGATGACTGGGCCACCCGTGCCCCGAAAAGGAACAAGCAAAGACCAGCAGAGTTTAGACAGAGCCTACAGGTTCTAAATTCTGTTGTTCCAGATGGCAATAAAATCCATTGAGATACTGCAGGTTGAGCAAGACAATACCAATCTCAATAAAATCAGATCTTATTCTCGCTACCGCTAAACAAAGATCTGAGGACATCCCATTATGGGTCACGTCAGACTGACCTTGCTCGAACTTTGACCGACCAATGGAATGACCAATCAGAAGTCAGCTTTCTCGTGCTTTACAGCACTGATTTCAAATTGGCAACTACGCTTCGAAACATATTTTGACAAATTCTCGATTACAAATTTGAAACCTGAACAAAAGAACATTCTGGAATGGCTAATAGATGGTCTAGATTGGATGGATACAGTCGTTACACCTGTAACTATCGTTCGGAGTTAAAGTTTTCGAGGCTGCATGATCAGAAATCACATTCCGACTGTCACTTTCATAATCTGGTAAGCGATTCTCTGATTGGTCGGATGAAAGGTTGTTCTGACGTGATTCGTAATGGGATGTCCTCAGATCTTTGTTTAGCGGTAGCGAGAACTGAGGTCTGATTTTAATGAGATTGAGACAATACTGAAACCACAATCATCTAGCTTTGATCAGGTAGTTTAATGCCAGTGGTATCAGGAAGTATCTAAACCTAGACCATGCCCTTTAGAAGGAGAAAAAAGAGCTTCTTGCAAACAAGAAACCAGTGAATGATTATCACGATGCTGTTTCACACCTAGTTGGGCTGTGAATTATGCAAAAGATAACGATAAATGTGAAATAAGACAATATTTTGCACAGTGCTCATTCTTTTTATCAATTGACTATTCTAAAAATAAAAGTAAACAAATGCCTGATGTCTGTCGTGTGATGTTTTTAATGTTGTACAAGTAACAAAATATATTGCAATAAAACTGAGATGTGAAAGAAAAAACTGTCTCTTGTGTATTTTTGTGTCGTAAATCGTTACAAACATCCACCGATCCCCTACAATTTTTTAGATGACACCATAGCTTAAACTAACACGATGGGGATTTTGCCTTGGCCAGCTGCTGGACAAGGGGGAGTCACTGTTGATAGTACCCAAAGAGGATGTTAGTCATAATAAGCTTGGTACAGACATAAATTGTTATTTGAATTATACTCTTCAAAAAATGAAACTTGACACTGACTTTCAAAATGTAATATAATGCGATTGTTTCAAAATAGGACACAGAAACCATAATTGAAACACTGTTTGAAGATCAATGTACACAATGTTCAAAACATTAATCGTGTCACCTAGACAGACACATGTACACGATACAGTTAATGTCACAGGGGTACAGAAAATGTCAGTATCGGTTGTGCCCACCACGTGCATCAATCACCGCTTTACACCGATGACCCATAGATGCAATCAAGTTGTCAATAACACGCTGTTGGATGTGCTGCCATTCATGCTGAAGTGCATCAAGAAGCACCAGAAGTGTTTGGGGCGGTGGATTCCTTCTGCGAACGCGTCGATCCAACTCGTCCCACAGATGCTCAATTGAGGACAAATCTGGTGACCGGGCTGGCCAAGGTAATGTCTGGATGTTGTTGTGCTGTAAGAAGTCCTGACAAATATGTGCAATATGCGGTTGAGCGTTGTCCTGCTGGAACTGTCCGCCATGAACGTTGACGTGAGGAAGAACGTAAGGCTGTAGGATCAAGTCTCTGTAACGCACACCTGTCAATGCACCTGCCACATGCACGAGAGGCGTCCTACCACCGTGATGAATTCCGGCCCATACCATGACACTCCCGCCGCCATATGGGACAACCTGTTGCACACAGTTGGGGGCGTAACGTCCACCCTGACATCTGCAGACATGTGCGCGCTCATCAGCACGTGTGAGTAGGAAACGGGACTTGTCAGTAAACAGTACATTTCTCCACCTTGCACGTGCCCATCTAACCCTCTGTTGGCACCAAAGCAGATGGTCCGCCAGATGACGTGGGGTCAATACATGACGTCGAACAGGTCTTAGTGCAAAAAGTCCAGCCTCCCTCAGTCTGTTGCGTACCGTTTGATCTGATATTCTGCGTACCCCAGGGATCTGTGTGGTTGTAGACGTGGCTGTGGTAGTGCGGTCTCGGAGGTGTCGCAGCCGGATGTATCGATCTTGTGCTTGGGTTGTCACCCTTGGCCTCCCTGACCTTGGTCCGTCGTCAGCTTTGTTGGTGTTGTTGTATCGGGTCTACAGTGCGGAGATTGTCTGTCTGGATACGCCAAAGTGCCTGGCCACTTCTTGCTGAGTTGCTCCAGCTTGTAATCTCCCAATGGCGTTGTTCCGTTGAGCTGCATTCAGTCTTGGCATTCTGTCACCGCCTCTACTGCCGTTATAAGGTCTGTATGAACAGCCATTGATGTGGATTTTTATACCCATTCAGCAGGGGGGCCTGCATGCCTAGATGCAGGATCCTGTGCTGCACGTTTTTACAGGCAGTTGCGTTTGGATGAAGCTGTAAATTTGATCCCCAGACACTACGTTTATGTGCTTTGCATGTGTTTTCGCGAATTATAGACACATCATCTTTCTGTTTGACTTATTTGGTTCTCATTTAATGTAATTATTTTAGATATTTGGCAAAAAGTGGTTCTTCATCTATGTCAAGTTTCTTTTTTTGAAGAGTATATTAACAATGTCAGCATCAAAGTTCATTTCACACATTCAGAAATGTATGAAATGTTACTTTTGGAGGATTAACAGAATAGCAACACTTATAGCTGCCAAGCATCACTGGATAATATAGTTGATAGACTCTCCTACTAAGTCTATCAAAATGAGCAAATGTTTTTTTCAGCAAATGAAAACATTTGTCATGCACCGCTGCACCATTGCTACGGAAGCTTTAGGCCACTCTCCTACCCAGAGTTCTGTGTGGCCAGCAGCCAGCCAGCATAGTACCTCTGCCACAGGCCAGCGCCATGTAACGATTCGTCACATCTTTAACAGTCCATTCAAGATATTGAATAAGCTTTTCATCCGTTTCTTGTTTGATAAGTCTACACCTTTTCATAAACAAATGTCAAAGAATGGTTACGGTTCATAAAGAAAGTATCCTAATACGTGAAAATCTACTTGTTTTTGCGTAGTTATCCTTTGTTTACATTGGTTGTACGGCTCCATGTGCTGTCGTCGAAGCCCAACGGAGAGCTAGCAATATGGTCACTTTGATGTATAAATATACATTGTCATAAAATTCATTGTCTCAGTTGTAGTAGCATATCTATATAATTATGCAAAACAATATGTTAAGACTTGCATTAGTCCGTTCTATACTGATTTATGAAAAAGCGCCAAATAGTATTGCTGTGGAACCCAATCATGGAGCACAGCTCTAGATAACTTTTTGAGCAATTGAGTTTTTACTCAGGGGTTTCTATTTTAATTGGGTTATTACATTTTTCATTGGGTAACCAATATTTTTTCACTCATCTATTCATCACTCTTTCGTGTATTTCCCAAAATTAGTGAACATTTAAAGATTTGAAAAAAATGAAATCATGTTTTAGATGTATATAATTGTTCTAAATATATAAGCTCGTAATTGTGTATCGGAAATCCTTTGTACGCATGCTGATAAAGCTTCATTGGGTATTTACGTGAGCTGTTTTTATACATTTGACTTTTTCATTTTATGGATGCAATTCTGTACGCAAGTTGATTGAAAGTAATAGGGTTTTGAATATTTTGGGGGGGTATTTTACGCAAATACGCTGCTTATCTGTAGCTCTGTGGAGCGTGTGATTTCAGCACATTCACTTCCACATTCAATATCTTTTACGAACATTATGATATTTTATCTCTTGGGAAATGACTTAATGTATCTAGGAAAATTAATATTCGCAATAAAATTACAACCAATTTCTTCACTGAATTTGCCCTTTAAAGGATCTGCTATCTGAAGCGGAGGGTCATGAAAAACACTTGCAGAATGTCTGAATAAAATAGACAAACTTCTGGGGACAGGCACACTTTTTTATGATAAGTGTCTTAAAAATGATAATTGCTTTTTTGTTTCCCTGAGGAAAAATAAACACTGACTTTCAGGTCAATTCATTCACTGTACAAACTTTTAACTCACATGTATTGTGATATCTAAATTAGGACCAATAATACAGCATTCAGGACTCTGGAAATATCCTCAGTTTCAGCCACATTAATTATTAATAATTACAACCATTAAACATGTTAAACATATAAAGCTAGATCTACTGCACACGGAAAGAAAGTCGTTAGAGAATACAGTTCCTCTAAAAGAGAGTGACCGCCTCCGTGGTCTAGTGGTAGAGCGTCCGCCCGGAGAGCGGAATGTCCGGGGTTCGATCCACAGCGGCGTCATACCAAAAGACGTTAAAAGATGGTACTTGTTGTAACCTTGTCTGGCGCTCGGCATTAGGGGCTAAAACAAGGACTGGTCTGCTCAGAGTCAGTATGCTGTGTCTGAGTGGGGTATTCATGTTAAACTGGGGCATGGTATCTCAGTGGGCTAGCACTATAAATGGGCATCAGTCCGGACTAGTACAAGCAGCCACACACACACACACACACACGTCGCTATATAAGTGCAATAATCTTGGACGCGACGTTAAACCCAATTTCACCTAAAAGAGAGTGTCAGCTATACCGATACCAGCAGGCAACAAAGAGCAATGATTAAATCACAAGAATCCGTGGCTGTACAGAAATAACTGTACCATTGTATATTCCTCCAGTATCCTACGAGGCCGAATAATATATTCTTATTAGTTTACAGCTGTGTTCAGCCATGGACACTTAATACTGAATGCAGATGTTGGAAATAAATCAACCGTAAAGTTTTGAATTATAAATGTATTGATTTTGTTGAAGACGTAAATAAATTAAAACTGCAAAGTTTCGACATGGTACTAGACTTCAAGTTACCAATTCACATTAGGGCAGACGACAAACACTTGAAACGAAATTCCTCAGCGTCATGTTGCCAAGTGCTTGGACTCCATTTTCTTTTTACAACTAACCAGTGACAAAAAAACGACCTGAGAATTTATACCCATAAAAAAACTCCGAATCAAATGCTTTTTCCATACTTTTAAAATCCATGTTTGTATCGTAATGAATATTTTCATAATGTTGATGTTAACTTATATTCTTTTCCCAATATAATGATAATGCCATGGTCGTTTCAATAACCATGTTAAATAGTACCGGAAGTTCACAATATATAACATTCCAACAATCGGCACCTTCTCGTACACGCCTGAAAATAGCTATCAATACGCAAGACTCTTTCGATCACAATGCAATGTCGCGTAATAAAACCCTAACGTAGATCCACGTAACGTATATTATACTTTTCGGCCGATGTATTTCCCAGAGCCTTCTTTTGGAGAGAATGTTGATCCTCATTATCTGTCCGGAGCTTGATCAAAACAATTTCGGAAAATCTCCGAGATAATCCGAATGATGTTCTTCCGCCAAATGCGTTGACGAACGTTCATGCTTTGTGGTGTGGAAACCGATTATATTTGAGGTGTTTCCTCGTTGCTAAATAAATATTGGTTTGTGACAGTTGAAGAGAAAAGACCAAAAACCACGATGTCTGAATTTCAAGAAGATATGTTTTCTGAAATGGAAGAAAAACGCCCCAAGGAGCAGCTGAAGGAGACGCGGTTTAAAGGAAAACATTCTCTTGACAGTGACGAAGAAGACGACGATGGTGACAAATACGAACTTCTCGATGATGAAGACATTGAAGGTAGCCATAACATACATCAACATGCAGTGAAAAGTTTCGTTTAATTCTTAACGAGAGACTGATATTGATTACATTGTTTTAAAAGCTACCACTGTACCCTTGCAGCTAACACGAAAATGGGGAGTAGTGCACTTTACCGGGCCCACTTTTTCAGATCCAATTAGTGCTGTGGGGGCTCGAACGCGCTTCGCCGGCTCACCGGCTCTGCTAATTAATGCGTTAATTAGCCGACGCTCTACCGCTGGACCACAGACGCTATCACATGTAATCAGTGCTCGTCTAACAGGTCATTAGAATCCCCATTGACATGCATGCGTAATTCAGTAAACAATGAATTGCGCATGCGTGTGACGTCACTGCCCGCTCTCCCATTCATCTTTTCTTGAAACCACACCCGCAATTGTTTATGTCAACATGACCGACTAATGGGATTAACTGGATTAACGCTTGAAAAGGTAAGAATTCATGGCTAACCTTGCCCAAAGCCAGCTGACCCTAATGACCGAAAACGGGTGTTGGATCGTAAAGACGTGTAAGTTTCCCTAAGACCGAAAAACGGGTGTTTGATCGTAAAGATGTGTAAGTTTCCCTAAGACCGAGAACGGGCGAGAGTCACCAGAGCGTGAGGCACGGTAACGGTATAACGAGACAGCGGTGGCACTATAGCGCGGTAATTGAGTGGATGGTAGAGCTCGGGCTGCGCCCGGTAAACTGCATTGTTGCCCGAAAATGTTATAACAAACTCGCTAAAACATTTCAAAGAAATGTTACAAAAATGGGACCACGGAAATGTTTTATTTATGTGAATTTGTATGGTTCCACCAACGTTTTCTGTAGACATGTATTTATAACGTTCAAAAATGTTAATGCGAAATGCGCAGCAAATGTATTTGAAAACGTTTTGTTCATGTTCTTTTGTATGGTCCCAGTAACGTTTTAGCAACTTTTTATGTCGACATTTGGTTATATTTGGTGATATATACATATATAAGAGGGAAGGGAATACCTATGCCTAATAACTGTTCACAGGTAATTCAGACCATCTTGTCACAGATCACAGGTACTTTTTCCACCCATTTCACAGTCACTGCTAGTTCTACTTATAGAGTAAATTGGTTCATTTTTCATAGAGATGATTAAGGAATTAATTAATTCTTATTTACCAGTCTGATAGTGACTAAACCTTATCATTATCAGGTTATTTTTTTATCATGTATAAACTGTATCTTGTATAACATATATAATTGTAACAGACGGACCATATTGGGCATTTCTTGATATTTTTAGGTAGCTGTCCCCCAAATTGACTACATGGTATTTCCAGTTTATACAGGGGCACGGGTGGCCCAGTCGTCTAAGGTGCCGCGATTCGCTGTGCAGAGTTTCGTCCCTTGGGCACGCCAGAAACCTATGATTGTGGGTTCGAATCCCGGTTCACCCCAATTATGTTTCTAGGTTTGTCAGCACCATACCTGTGCTCGTGGGTTTCACCGGAGTGGTAAATGTCTGAGACCTGCATCACTTCGGGCTTTCCTCCCACATTAAGTTGACACGCCGTGATATAACTTGAGTACTTTTAAAAGCGGCGTTAAACCCAATTCACTCACTCACTCTCTCCAGTTTATACCTAAAAAATTATAATCAAGTTATGGCTATGTGTTAGAGGTATTGAGTGTGTTCAAAGTGTGTTGTGTGGCAAAGTTAGGGTTAGACAGACCAGAGACCATAAATGGTCTCTGGATAGACACAAATTTACGCATAAATATTAGGTTCCACTTTTCGGTAACAGGTTGAACTGGTGCATGTTTTACACAGCTAAATCATGTAAATCGAGAGGAATTGTGGAAAAAAAAGCCTTGAATACCTTTTATACAATTGTGATTAACTTTTATAACCATGTTAACATGTTTTCATTTCCATAATCATGATAATACATTTGGCCGCCTCCGTTGTCTAGTGGGAGAGCGTCCACCCAGAGAGTGGAGGGTCCTGGGTTTGATCCATGGCCGCATCATACCAAAAGACTTTAAAAGATGGTACTTGTTGTTACCCTGTCTGGCGCTCTGCATTAAGGGGCTAAAACAAAGACTGGTCGGCTCGGAGTCAGTATACTGTGTCTGAGTGGGGTATTCATGTTAAACTGCGGCATGGTATCTCAGTGGGCTGGCACTATTAATCAGCATCAGTCCGGACTGATACACACACATGTGCATGCACGTCACCATATAAGTGCAATCAGCTTGGACGCAATGTTGAACCCCATCTCACCTCACCTGATCATACATTTTACCACTTTGATATAATCTGGAAAACACCCTCAGGGTCATGATGATTGATGATGATGATGATGGACCCAAAGATAATGATCATCATTATAATACCGTATTCGACGTAATAAGCGCCCAGGGCGCTCACAAAATTAGAAATAGGGGGCTCTTATTGGAATATTATTTTAGTGAAAAAAACAGAGTTGAAAGATAAATATCGTGGTTTGTGCTGACAGCCTGAAATGTTTATGTGCGACAGATATATTTCTAGAATTTAATAGCCCATAATTAAGTGTGCACATATCACACGAGTGCGTATTATAAGCGAATAAATAAGTCTTGTGTACACTGATCAATCGGAAGGGGTGCTAATTGGGATTGTCCACTGGCCAATATATTAGCAAATATCATTGTGGGCGCTTATTAGAGCGGGGCGCTTATTACGTCGAATACGGTAATAATAACATCCATGAACATCATATGTTGCAGGTCAGGAAGACGGAATAAGTGACGTAGTGGAAGGTATTCAGGTCACTCCCTTCAACATGGCAGAGGAGATGGAAGAAGGACATTTTGACAAAGATGGCATGTTCATCTTTGAGAAGGATAAGGTAACACTCTCTGATTCAGTTCCATGATGTTATGTTGTACTGATGCAATCTTTGACCAGAGCTCCAGAAATTGTATTGAGTATTTACTTACAGGTTTTAATCAGAGCTGTAATGATTCACCGTTACCTACAATATCATCATTACTAAGGTAGATGTTCTGTCAGGCCAATGGGTTTCAAATTTGTATGGGTCTTAATAGCATGCAGTAAATTTATTATGTGTTGATTTATTTGTCACAGTAAGCTGTAGTTTTTCAATTAGGGTCTGAAGAGTTTCGTCAGGACCTGCAGCTTCTAAAGTCTGTGGGTCCTGATGGCAGCCTGGCATATTTTTTTTTAATTTCAGACACTTTTTGTGTGTCCCCTTATGTATATCATTGGGAACATCCTCTTTCCTGAAGTCTTTGATAGGTATTTAGGAGAACATGAATACATGACACTTTTTTATGGAGTGCAGCTTCTTTTAATCATTGTGCCACGTTTTAGAGTACTTCTTGCTCCTTCATCAGGTGAATGATCGGATATGACAATGGATGAATGAAAAAGTTGATAAAATTGTAAAAAATTCAAATTTCATTGTCCCCAGCAAAATCACTGCAGTCTGCCATGATGTGTACATTTAGCTAAATATAGCTGACTGTTGTGGAACAACATTCTCTCACTGTGTGTCGCACAAAATCAGCCAGTTAAAAAATTAAAATATAAAATTATTGATAAAAAATCATCCTGATAATACATTGTAATCCTCGGATCCCCATTAGGAGGCAGGGAGGGAGAACTGACCTGACCCATCCACCGGAGGGGTAATGATTTAAAATTTTATGGAAATTTTACTGTCCATTTCAGGCACAAATCCGAGACAGCTGGATGGACAACATTGACTGGGTTAAGGTGAAAGAAACACAGATCAAACGTGACCTCAAGCGATCACTGTCAGACAGTGATGAAGAGTTACCTCCCTTTGATGAGAAGGCTGTCTATGCTGAGATATTGCCGATGTTGCAACCAGGGGAGACAATTGCTAAAGCCCTGCGGCGAATTGGGGGAAACCAGAACCTGTCTGCCAGTCAAAGATTAAAACTGAAGAAACAAAAGAAATTAGAAAATAAAAACAACAGCAGCACTGAGGATGAAGCTCAGGAGAGGAAAGCTAGGATGGCGAAATTGACAGAACTTGCCGACAGCTTTGTGTCAAATGGCATCATGGACATATACGAAATGACATGCGAGAAGATCACACACACTTTGAAGAAGATGGAGAGTCAGAAGGTGAAGTTTGACGTGCCAGCTGATGTTGATGACGATGATGCTCTCGATATGTTTGCTGATAACTTTGATAAGAAGGATGCTGACAGTAAGGAGATTGGACCCAGCAGCAGCAAGAAAGCCAAGATGGAGATGAACGGCAGTGGAGGTGGGTTTGGGTGTCAGAGAGTCACTTTATTACAATGCTGTTTGGAAGTTAGAATAGGTCTTCAGCAACCTTGTTGTCGTAAGAGGCAGCTAACGGGATTGGATGGTGAATGTTGCTGACTTGGTTGATGCATGTTATCGTATCCCAATTGCGTAGATCGATGCTAATGTTGTCAATCATTTGATTGTGTGGTCCAGCTTATTTACAGACCGCCATTGTATAGCTCATCTTCCCGAGGCAAGAGAGTTAACTGACTTTAAAAGTCCAGTCCAGCCGAACTAGGCTGGAATTACAGGGTTCGATCGTAGCGCCACCAGTGGCTATTACCAGCTATGTCCCTTCTAAGCCTCTCATATGGACCAATTAGATTCCACCTCTCATATCACTTGCGTTTGATTCACACAAAATGGTGGCACCCAGTCAGGACGATCTGATCGATAATCAAGATCTATATTGTGATAAAACGGGTCTTACATCGCGAAATGCATCAAATCATGGAGCACCTTCACTAAAAACATTAAAAGATTTGGAAAATATCTGCTGCCAACGAGTTGGTGGTGCACATGCTTTGCAAATCCTGCAATTGATCGAAATCTGCACGACAGTTTAAGAACCGGATTTCGTTTTCGGTGCGCGATTTTGATTGGACTATGCATAGCCTCGTTAGTCCAGCCAAATGTAACTCCATAATACCAGCCTAGTTCGACAAGGGTGGAAACTGGACTTTTATAGTCAGTTAACTCTCTTGCCTCAGGAAGATGCATATAGCTGGAATATGTATGAGTGAGGGGTCAAACAGAACAAATCATTCTACAATGTTCTAGTTGGTGGAAGTGAAACATATGTTTTGTTTGTTTGTTGTTTAACGCCGCACTCAGCAATATTCCAGCTATATGACGGCGGTCTGTAAACAATTGAATCTGGACCAGACAATCCAGTGATTGACATCATGAGCATCGATCCACACAATTGGGATACGATGACATGCATCAACCAAGTCAGCGAGCCTGACCACCCGATCCTGTTAGTCGCCTCTTACGACAAGCATAGTCACCATTTAAGGCAAGCTTGGGTTGCTGAAGACCTATTCAACCTCAGATCTTCACAGATCTAAAACATATGCAGGGACCTATAGCCGTGGTATATACGCTGGTTATCACAGCTTTTTTTATGTTTATAAACATGATAAGTAATAAAACATGGTTTGAATCATAGATTTGCAATTTTCATGGTTTCTAGATTTGAAAGCATCATACACATGTTTGTGGGACACTCGGGTAGCCTTGTGGTTAAGGTGTTCACTTGTCACACCGAGGACCTGGGTTTGATTCCCGGCTTGGGTACACTGTGTGAACCCCATGTCTCATTTATCTGGTGTCCCCCGCCGTGATATTGCTGGAATATTGCTAAAAGCATGGTAAAACCAAACTCACTCACTCACTCATGTGTGTGACAATGTTCAACCCATTTTGCATTTACCATACCAGTCATCTTCAGTGGTTGAGGCTGCTTATAGTTTTGTTGGTATAAACAATTCTTTACATCTCATGTTCCAGAAGATTCATCTCGTAAAACAGAACCTGCAGCAGCATCAACATCCACAGAGGCAGCATCAACGTCAGCAGCAGAGGAGGAGTCGTCGGAGGTGAGGTGGGAGTACAAGTGGGAGGACAAAGACACGGCAACGATCCATGGCCCCTTCTCCAGCTCACAGATGATGAACTGGTCAGAAGAAGGATTCTTTAAAGAAGGAGCGTATTGTCGCAAAGTTGATGCAGCTAACACCCAGTTCTACTCCACACGGAGGATAGACTTTGACTTGTATACATAGGCTCCACAACACTTTGTATCCCAGAAATGGTGTGTTTGGGACGTTCGCACACCATTGATATTGTTTGTATGATTGTTTAGAACCATGTCTGCTTTTTATAATCAGAGCGTCATTGCTGTGTGGAACCAGATGGGGTGAACATGTTCACTAATATTTGTATATATTTAAAGTTGTTTTAGTGCTTTGGCTCCAATCTTTCCCATCCTCGGTGGTCCAGGGTGTTATATCTCCAAACTATTAGAATTATGAACCTGGACTCATTCACCACTTCATTGGTCATTTCATGAAAGAACATTTTGACATGACCTGTAATGGATTGTCCTTAGATGTTTGTGTATCTGTAGCAAGCACCAAGATCTGATTTTAATCTGATTGATTTTTTGCATTATGCCATATGAATTAGACACAACATGAAGCTATTGTTGCTAGGGTCCGGGGTATTGATTATTGTACCGGTAATATGGAGGCATCATGCTGATTGGCAGAATTGTTGTTCACTCCACACAGATTCTTATTTAAACTCCAACTGAGCATTTTTATCCCCCAGGTTTGAAAAACTTGGGGGTATAGCGATCAGTATGTCAGTCCGTCAATCCGCCAGCCGTCCGTTGTGCGTTTCCAGAGCAGAAATCCAAAACCTGTCAAATATTTCTTGCTGAAAGTTTCTATATTGATCAGTCTAGTGTGGAACTGGTGCTTTTTGAAGATTTGGGATTATTTTTATTCTTTTTGTTTTGTTTCGTTTTCATGATTTTGCATGATGAAAACAGTTGTTTTCCGTTTCTGGAGGAGAACTCCAAAAGCGTTGGATATTTCTGGTTGAACTTGCTATATTGATCAGTATAGTGGTGAGATGGTGCCTTTTGATGATTTAGGATTTTGTTCATATTTTTTTTCAATTTTCATCATAAAAAGTTGGACTTAGGGAAGTGCTTGTTTATGGAAGATTTGGAATTTTTATTTTTTTTATTTTTTAAGTTTCCTTGAGGACAAGTTGGATTTTACTGAAAAGGAAGGTAGTGCTCATTTCTGGAGCAGGGTGCCGTTGAACAAAACAACCATAGCGATACGACTGTCATAGCGCTAAGATCACCCTGTACAATGGCACCCAGAACTCCAATTAGACTAGTGATGATGGGAGGGATATGCGATCTCCTGATGACCCTTGTATTTTATTGTTGGATGTCATGTACATAATTTAAATTTCTATGATCTTTGCCAAAAAATGATGAAGTACACTGAGTATAACAAGTATTGAGTATGGACTATACATTGAGTTGACTATACATATCCGAGGGTTCTTGTAAAGAATTCTGTTGTGTTCCTCTTCTGTGTTGGCAATAATTTATGATGATTATTACCAACCAGTTTTCTGGTTCACTGGTAACGTTACAAGTGTCAAACATCAAATGTCAAAACTTCAAATTTCATTTATACTCCTCAAAAGAGGTTTAACTATAGTAATATGAATGAATTATGGTTTACAAGTATAATGATTATCATGTCCCTGTGAAAATCCAGGTTATATTAGGTCTTCAAGCTTGTCATAAATGGTGATTGGGTGGTCAGGCTTGCTGACTTGGTTGATGCATATCATCTGTTCCATTTGCAGAGATCGATGCTTATGTCAATCACTGGAATGTCTGGTCCACACTTGATTAGTTACAGGCCAACGTCATATAGCTCATAGTTGAAATAGTGCTGAATGCAGCGTTAAACATTACGAAACAAAATGATTATCATGATTATATTGTGGCCTTTGTAATTTCTTGTTTCATGTTTCTGCTGTCTCCGCAGGGGTGGACTCCATGAGTTAATCTAAGTCATCCACATGTATATTTTTACTAGTTGTTCACGTCAGTGTTAAACACGAGCACTAGTCTGTTAGTCCAAGTTTAGTGAAAATCTAGAGGGAAGGGTTGTTTGTTTCCCAAATCTAGTTATTTTACGTGAAGTCACTAGTCGAAAATGAGCTGTTGACTGGTTGGATATGACAGATTCTGGTCTACCCCTGTAAATTAAAATGTTGAGACGAGGAACTAGTCCTTAAGAATATTCTTTAGTCTTAAACTAGCAGACTAGTGGTTACCTCTCAACCTGTTGTTAGTAGTGATTTCATAGTGTAGAGGTCAGTGTTTGTGTGATGGGCAGAAATCTGTGGATCTGTTCGTTTCAAAGTCTACGTCCCGATTCAGTATTGACAACCGTCTCATCGACAGTTCGGTAATCAAATAATCTTGTTCGTTTGTAGGCAGCAAACATGTTTTTATTACATATATTGTATATTAGATATAATGTATATTTGATATTTCCAATCAATTCCAGTTTGATAAAGTTTGGTAGAACTTTTCGAGGAGCAATCTCAGATTTGTCAAAACTAAACATGGTGGCCATAGTTGCCATGGTTACACTGCTGAAGTTGCTCTTTGGAAGAGAAAGATTTGATATGTAGTTCTAGATTGATAGATTGCTTTCTTAGTAGTTAGAGTGACTGACAGAGTCATGAGGGGTGTTAGGATACACTTGTCTCTTAATAGGTATCTAACAATAACAGCATCTGAAGACATGGGATTCCTGATTCAAACCCAACTAAAGGCCTGAATACATGTGAATTTTTGCCAATCGCTTGTATTATGTATTATTGGGGAGAGGGTTGACCAGGTGATCTAAGGCACTGGAATTAACTGTGAATAGTTACTCCTTTATCAGAATCGGATGATCATGGGTTCGAATCCCAAATTCATTGTGATTATGATTCTAGGTTTGTCAGCACCATACCTATAGGTGGTGCCAAAGTGGTCAAAGACCTGCATCACTTCGGGGCTTTCCTCCCATATGAAGCTGTTCATTGTCATGTAATAAACCAAATCGGTTTTCAACCCAACTCATTCATGTATTGATACAATTACACGAAAGGAAATAAGTTTGGAAATGTGGAGAATCCCTGCAATGTATCTTAACAGCCATGAATGCAGAGTGAATGTTTTTGCAACTGAGGATTAAGTGAATGAGATGGTTCGAGGAGAGTGAAAGTGGAGTCGGAACCAGAGCTCCAGATAAGCTTTTGGTGTTGTGGGTATATAACCCATGCATTTTAAAATCATTGGGTATTAGTAATTCTATCTGGGTATTCAAATTTCTGTTACCCACTAGTTTTTACACATGTGGGTATGTAAGTTAAATATTTAAAAACACTATTCATCTAGTCCCTGCAAACTGGTGTCGTGTGGGTTCGAGATACACAGCTTATCTGGAGCTCTGGGAACACATGTATCATAAATATTCTCTTGATACAACAGCACAGTAATGATGGATATGTGTTGAAGACATGTCTTACCTTTAACATTACTCACAGATGTGTATATACACTGTGTCCTCCATCGCCATGAAGTTAAAGGCACCTTTGCGATGTATGATGTGTGTCTATTTTTAGTAAGCTGATGAAATAATGATTCGATTGATGATGATAATGTCAATCACAGGATTGTCTGATATGTTTACAGGCCGTGTCATATAGCTGGAATATTGCTGAGTAGGCGTTAAACACCAAACAAACATGGAAGTCAAGTAAATCCTTATTCGTGCATGAACATTTTGCTAAACCTGCTGTTGCCTGACATGGAAACAAAGCAAGGCTATTGCACATGCTGCATAAGAAATACCGCCGATGTGGACTTATTGTTCATTGGCCTGCGTCCTCGCTGGTTTCCAAGGTCGTGTCTTGATTCGTTGGTTAAAAATAGCATCTATTCCGCAAAGCGGTCGTTTGTATTCTCAAGTGATGGAAGAACACAGTGTATTTGTACATGTGACATAACATGGTAGAGATTAGGGCTGGGACAAGTCCAAATTTACTACCTGGGTACCCAACCCCCTATTACCCGACCCTACCCGGGTACATGGTGTAGGTCTCATGAAATACCTACAAAATGTCCGATTTGGAAAAGTCTGCCCTGGCAAAATGTATTAAGTAAGATACACGTTTAAAACGATCTGGTCATGCAAACACTGAAGTTTACTGAAGTTTTATCTTTATTAAAACCTATGAAAGTCAGAAGGAATGGGTGCATAGTCAGAAAGAAATGGGAACATTAGTGACTTGAAGTGTTACCATAGAGTTTTAGATAATTTTTGTCATTAAACAATATATCACGTGACTAACCACGGGTCCGGGTATTTCTATGGGTACACGGGTCCTACTCTGTACCCACCCGACCCGGGTACCCGGGTTACCCGTCCCAGCCCTAGTAGAGATGGTTCATGTATATATATCTTATGCATGTGTAATTTTAGTGTTTTTATGGAGCAATACCATTGTTTGAGGGTAAGGGAAGAAATACAGAGGACTCTTTATCCTTTCATTCTGGGTGTTTGTATAATAGAATATTTACGGTAATGTCTGTAATGTATTATATACACTTGTGTTAAGAATTCAATGAGCTGTGGTAAGAAATGAAATAAATGTTTAGATTAGATGAAACATTTATTTACGCAATGGACAAGGGAGTATTTTGTCTATCACGTTAGATGACAGGGTGGCTTCCAGGCCGGTTGGGACATGTGACATATCTTTCCTATGATGGAGATGTGAAACTTCTTTATTATTTGTAACAACAGGGACCACCTCTGTGGTCTTGTGGTAGAGCGGCTAAAACAAGGACTGAAGTCAGTATTCTGTGTCTGAGTGGGGTATTCATGTTAAACTGTGGCATGGTATATCTCAGTGGGCTAGCCATATGAAATCGGCGTTAGTCTGGACTAGTACAAGCAGATGCACGCACGCACGCACGCACGCACGCACGCACGCACGCACACACGCACATGCATGCAGGTCGCTTTATAAGTGCAATAATCTTGGATGCGACGTTAAAAACCAAATCACCTCCCCTCACCTGTAACAACCCTTTGATGAGTTAACATTCATCCTTCATGTTTGCTTATCAAAGACTTGGTGAGAAATGGTGGACAATATTAATCACTGGATTGTCTAGTCCAGACTTGATTATTTACAGATCGCCATCATATAGCTGGAATATTGCTGAGTGCAGTGTTCAACAACAAACCAACCAACCAATATTGTCAGTGATGTCACGAGTTGATCAGAAAGATGGCCATCTTTTGGAACATATATACAATATAGTATACGTAAATCTATAGTAAATTTCATAAAAAAATATATATACACCAGAGTATCTGAAAAAACATTCCCTTTGGTGTAAAAAGCAAAATAGTGAACATCATATCATGAATGGATCACTGGAATTCACTGTTCCAGCTGTCTCTGCAGATTCAGTCACTGGCTGTGAAGTATGTTCACCATGGAGGGTCCTGTCCACATGTCCACATTGGCCTGGGTCACCCCAGTCTTGTTGTTTATACTGTGTATCATATATCATGTATATTCCATGTTTATACAACTGGTCAGCATCCTGTATATACCTCACCACTCTGGCCATTGTTCATACCCCATGGCAGTAAAAGTTACCTTTGGTCTATGTACGTGTTTGTTTTTGCGATCTCAACATTATGACCATGGCTCCATGGTCTAGTGGACCTGATGGCAATACCATGGAATGGCATCCCTGCCACTAAAAACAAGTTCTTAATGTTGGATGTGTTCTTCCAAGTTTGCCATGAAGTATCTTGACAAAGCCTTAGAATAGAAACAAATGGAGCAGTAACTTCTAAGAAGAGGTGGCACACAGTAAAGAGTTACACCCCTTCGCCTACCAGGATCTGCTAATCGTTTGCTGGAATCCCTGATCCTGAGTTATGATCGTGCGCCCCCTTTCACAAAACTCCCATAATTTAACGCATCATCCCGAGGCAAGGGAGTAAACTGACTGTAAAAGTCAAGTTTCCACCCTTGCGCACCTTGGCTGCAAATTTCCTGGTTCGATCGAAGGCCAGATTACGGGTTATGTCCCTCCTATTGACCAATCAGATTCCACTTCTTCGTATCACTTGATTCAAATAAAATGGCGGCGCCCAGTCAAGACAATCTGATCAATAATCAAGATCTGTTTTATAATAAAATGGATGCATCAAATCACCTGAGCACCTTGACTAAAAACCTGAAAAGATTTGGAAGAAATCTGTCGACGCCCATTTGACGGTACACATGAACAGCAAATCCTGCAATCGACACGGCTGCGATAGCTTTGCGGAACGCATCCCTGGATTGTCCACACATTTCGAATCCTCGTGGATATCACGACCGCTTCCGTGGTCCAGTGGATAATGCCACTTCACGGAGAGAGGAAGGTCGGTGGTTCGATTCCCGGCCGCGCCATAGCAGAAGACGTTTAGAGATGGCACTTTAGAGATGTTACTCTGTGGAATGAGGGTATAAAACAAGTTTTAAGAACTTGTCGGCTCGAAGTCAGTATACTGTGTCTGTAGTGGAGTATCCATGTTAAACTGCATTGTGTCTCCGTGGGCTAGCACTATAAAACCGGCTTTATTCATCACTAGTAAAAGAAGTCGCACACCCGCGTCCGCACACACTTGTATGCACGTTGCTTTACAAGTTGGGTAGCCTAGTGGTTAAGCGTTCGCTCGTCACGCCGAAGACGCGGATTCGATTCCCGACATGGGTACAATGTGTCAAGCCCATTTCTGGTTACCCCCGCCGTGATATTGCTGGAATATTGCTAAAAGCGGCGTAAGATCAAACTCACTCACACCTATACAAGTGCAATAGTCTTAAACGCAACGTTAAACCTATTTCAACCTCACCTATCAACTCATTCATAAGCATACACCGAGACTCCATTACAAAATTGAAAAGTGCACACCTGGCATCGACTTAAAAACATTCTCAAGCAGACCTGTTCGGATAAGATATTGCTGTACCATTCATTAATAGTTGTACTAGATCCAGACCCGTGAAGATCCCGGGTTAGAATAGGTCTTCAACAACCCATGCTTGTGGCAAGAGGCGCGGGTTGCGGGATCGGCTGGTCAAGCTCGCTGACTTTGTTGATGCATGTCATCGTATCCCAATTGCGTGGATCGATGCTCATGATAACAATCACTGGATTGATGGTTCATACTCTATTATTTACAGACCGCCGTCATATAGCTGGAATATTGCTGAGTGCGGCAACAAGTCTTTTTTCGACAAGCATGCAAAGTATCTTTCTTTACAAGCTGACACTATGTGTGGGTGTTGAGTTAGAGTGCGTGAGTGAGTATGGTTTTACGCCGCTTTTAGCAATATTCCAGCAATATCACGGCGGGGGACACCAGAAATGGGCTTAACACATTGTACCCATGTCGGGAATCGAACCCGGGTCTTCGGCGTGACGAGCGAACGCTTTAACCACTTGGCTACCCGACCGCCCGTGTTGAGTTAGAGGGAAACTATAGGTTTATGGTAATTGGCAATCATAGCAAGTGTTTAACAAGTCATTTAAACCTCTGTGTTTGTAAATTTAAATTTTATTGTCTATCAGGGGGCACGGGTGGCCCAGGCGTCTAAGGCGCCGTAATTCGCTGTGCAGGGTTGCGTCCCTTGGGCAGGCCAGAAACCTATGATTGTGGGTTCGAATCCCGGTTCGGCCCGATTATGTTTCTAGGTATGTCAGCACCATACCCGTGCTCGTGGGTTTCACCGAAGTGGTAAACGTCTAAGACCTGCACCACTTCGGGCTTTCCTCCCACATTAAGCTGACACGCCGTGATATAACTGGAATACTGTTAAAAGCGGCGTTAAACCCAACTCACACACTCACTCTAATTACGTCTGGGTCTTGATTAGAAAGAATCTCAAACCAAGGAACACAGTTTACCTTTAAAATGGAATAAATGACACAACAGGAAAGATAAATGATTTATTCCAGCCGAAGACAAATACTCACTGATGACATCTATCCTTCAATCGTGGGTCCACCTCGCTATGGACATCAGGTCTACTACTTTCTGCATCTGTCTCTTCTTGATCTTATATTCTATTGGAAGCTGATCCCCCGCACTGGGAACGGTTGATTTCCGTATGGACTTGGTCTTTGGCACTTCATCAAAGGACACCGACAAAACATTAGCACATCTTTGAGACTCATTAGACCCCTGTCCTTGCTTCGAATCCTTCTTTGTGTCACACGTCCGTCCAACAAGCTCTGGCAAATGTACTTCCGGTGTCTCTTTATTATCTCCCTTTCTCTCCTTGACCTTCGGCTTCGTAACCTTGGCGGTCCTGAAGCCTGTTCTTAGACATCCGTCTCCAAGGAGAGCTGTTGACAGGAATTCTGACAGTTTAACACTGGTGGACTTTTGATGGTATGTTTCCCTGAGAAACTCCACCTGTCCCCCCTTAATATGCTTATATTGGAGAAATCGTTTGAAGGGAGACTGTAACTGGTCGAGTAACCGCTGGGTAGCCGAGGAGGAATCAGAGCTGGGTCTGGATCCTGGTTTGACGGTTAATTCTGCGTCTTGTCGAAGCAGGATCTGAGGCAGTGTGTTGGATTTTTGCAATTCGCGTTCCCTTCTCAAACGTTCGTATTCCTTCATATAGTCTTCGGTTGTGTCGTCTGCTCGGCTGTGTTGATGGTCTGCGGTGTCGCTGCTCTTCTTCTGTCGAACTGGAGTCAGGCTTGGAACGCTGCGGGTGTTGGTTAAAGACGGTTTGTCCCCCTTCTTTCGTTTTGGGTTGTCCCCCTGGGGCGTCCTGTCATGGCCCCTCTCCTTCTCCTTACCCCCGGACTCCGCGGACATGACGCTACTGAGGTCGGAGCAACTGGGGAGAAGACAGATATATAATTATTGTTTAGTGTTAACTTTTATTTTTTGTTGTGTTTTGTAGTTTAACGCCGCAGTCAGCAATATTTCAGCTATGCGACGGCAGACTAACTGATCGACCCTGGAACACACAAACCAGTGACTGACATCACATGAGCATCGATCTACACAATTGGTCTATGATGGCATGCATCAACAAGTCAGCCTGCCTGACCACCCGATCTCGTTAGTGGCCTCATAGCTTCAGACTGCTAAAAAAATAGAAATTGTCAGCCACAAAAATTACATTGTTGCAATGTGTTTTCTTTAAAAAGTGTTCAGGCTCATAGTTTCAATTAAAAAAATATCTGGTTTAGCAGGGTAGCTGAAAATATATAATCTCCAGACAAACTCCCAGCAACCCCCGCCGAATGGCAAACAGTCGGTCCCTTACGACAAGTATGGGTTGCTGAAGACCAATTCTAACTCGGAACTTCACGGGGGACAAGCAGGTTTGAAGAAGTATAATTCTAACCTGGATCTTCACGGGAGACAAGTATGGGCTGAAGAAGACCAGTTCTAACCCGAAACTTCACGGGGGACAAGCATGGGTTGAAAAAAAGACCAATTCTAACCCGAATCTTCACGGAGGGGTTTAGTGAGTTAAACATTGTTTCGATGATGTCACGATGTGTCGTCTTTATGTGACAGGATAAGACCTGGTTATAGGGTAATCTTCTGGATTGTAAAACCCGAGAGAAGAGAGCCCGGGGAAATGAAGTCCCGATGACGGAGGTCTAACTCACGAGTCTCCTCCCGAGGGTTTTCAATCCCAAATATAACAGAGGAGTGTGCTATGATCACATTACTCTTGGATTAGAACCCATGATCAGTACATCCTGTCGTGACAAAGGGACCTAACTCCGCCCTGCATTTGTCACCATGTCTATCCGTGCCACACAGCTATTAAAGAAGGATTTTGGTAGTTGGTCTAATATTATTATGAAAGAAAGGTGAAACACAGAGTAAGCAGTATAACTGTTTTATCACGGGAACCGGTAATCCAGTGGTTGATTGCCTGAACAGCTATCCACGCCTTCGGGGTACATAATCAGCAATCAGTTGTTGCTTGTTGCTGTTGTTTAGCGCCACTCTCGGCAGTATTCCAGCTGTATGACGGCGGCCAGTAAATAATCGAGTCTGGATCAGACAATCCAGTGCTCATCGATCCGCGCCATGGGGATACGATGACATGCAAACAAGCCAGTCACTGAGCCTGGCCACCCGATCCATTTAGTTGCCTCTGATGACAGGCATGGGTTTCTGAGGACCAATGTTCTTACCTGGAATCCCCACAGATGAACCAGCATTGATGATATCAGAGAATTGTTGTCATAAAGTATACTGATTTGCTCCCGTATAGTTTGTTGGTTGGTTCGTTGTTTAACGCCGCACTCAGCAATATTCCGGCTATATGACGGCGGTCTGTAAATAATCGAGTCTGGACCAGACAATCCAATGATTGACAACATGAACATCGATCCACGCAATTGGGATCGATGACATGCATCAACCAAGTCAGCTAGCCTGACCACCCGATCCCGTTAGTCGCCTGTTACGACAAGCATAGTCGACTTTTACGGCAAGCATGGGTTGCTGAAGACCTATTCTACCCCGGATCTTTACGGGCCGCTCCGGTATAGACTTGCCTGATTCAGTGTTAGCATACAGCTGTTCAAGACACTCGTAGATTTCGTATATGTTGGATATAACTACTCAGGGAAACACTCAAGATGTACAGTGATACCTCGTTAACTCGAAGTCATTGGAGTCGTCACATCGAGACATCCGTATTTCGAGACAAGCGGAGTGTCTTTAGTGCTGGGTGCCGTTGTACCAGGTCTTAGCGGTAGTATTAGTATTTAATTTTGGGAAATGCCCGATTGTATATTTGATATGTTCTTGATGCGTAGCTTCCGGTTTGGATTTTGTTTGCTAGATTTTGCCCTTGTTTCCAATCTCATTAAAATCAGATCTTAGTTCTCGCTACCCCTTAAAAAGATCTGAGAACATCTCATTACGGGTCACGTCAGAACGACCTTTCATCTTACCAATCAGAACGTCGCTAACCTGATCAGGAAAGTGACAGTCGGAATGTGTAAGACTATTTGCTTCAAAATCATCGACTATCTCTCGCTTCAGTTGGATAAACATTTGAAACGGAAGGGACTTCCATAGCCCGTGGGAAGTACTGCCAGACAATCTCGGCCATCTATTAGACATTCCAGATATTTTTGTAAAGTTTGTAAATTTTCAATAGAGAGCTTTATAAACATAATTTTCAAATGGTTGCCTGGAATGAAAGTGCCGTAAATGTCCAAAAGCGGCTTTCTGACTGGCCAATGTCCCCTTTTTGTTAGTCTTTTTTATTGGCAGTACGCTAAAGATTGTTCTGACGTGGGGATGTCCTCAGATCTTTGTTTAGGTAGCGAGAACTAAGGTCCTATTTTAATGAGATTGCCCTTGTTACCTTGCGTCCGTGTCGCCGGGGAGCAGTGCAGTGAAATCACATGAGTTGACAATAGAGCTGGAACACAAAATGGGTGTGGTCAAAAACATGCAAAGGGGGCGTGGTCAGTGACATACACAAGGACATGGTCAGTGATATGCAGTGGTAGTGAGGTCAGTTACATTCGTCGGGGGCGTGGTTAGTGACATACATAGGGTGTGGTCAGTGACATTCAATGGGGTGTGGACAGTGACACATACACAAGGGGCGTGGTGCAATACATGGGGGCGTGGTTCGTGACATCTGGGCACTACATGAAATATCCAGTGAACGTGAACCTGCTATAATTTGTGCCGTGCCGTGGTGGATATAGGTAGTGGAGGATGTATGTTGTTTTACACCGCAACCAGCAGTGTTCCATCCATATGACGGACTGTAATGAATCTAAGTCTGAGTAAATGGCGGCATGGTTAACGATCCACGCCGACGGGGAACAGTGACGAACGTCATTCAACGTCATAGCTGTAACCTCTGCAGTTACTATGGTTACGTTAATCAAGGGTACTGGGAACCTTTTCTACCTTGGCACCTCCGCAGGAAAATTGGTTTGGGACACAATACATTAAAGTAATAAAATCAAGAAAGTTTTTAAACTTCCAAGATTCTGAGACTCGATGAACCATTTTTTTTGGTGCAAACATTAAAGTTAAGTAAAGTTAAGAAAATCCTCGGATCCTGAAACCTCCTTAAAAGGACACCTATATTTTACCAAGAGTAATAATGTACGCAAAATGCTGGACTATTCGAGTCTTAGGATTTAGTATCGTCACTTGATTGTCTGCATTAGTGACCAACTCGTGTTATTCCGGGACAAGCCGAATAGCGACTCGTGCCCCTCTCTTGGCCATTTTTTGCGACCGGGTTCCGTCTTAGCGCAAACGGGCATACCTAAAACAATTGTCAACTCGTTGCGTAATGGTTCACATATTATTTCCCCATGTATTTTATACATTTCAGATGCAATTTAAAGCACATTGGGGCGTGCGGAATTATACAGTATGATTGTACACATTTAACTGTGTCTTGGGTATATGTTTAGATGCAAGACATATGTAAAATCAAAAATTATTACTGAGGGATTCTTTGACGTAGAACTGAAATCATACGCGCATTCTGAATGGTTTGTCGTATTTTCGCACATAACATTCATCGATAGGGGGACGAGTCTTCTTGCAGGTTACGGGAAGGAGCGAGTTGTGACGAATGGATTGTCTGGTCAAGATTCGATTGTGTACAGGACGCCGTCGTAGGGTAGGAGTACTACTGTGTGGCAACAAACAACCACTTACTTTTTTTGGTACAAGTTGCGTGCGTGGCGGATGCTACCGGTAGGGCAGGACATGCTTACCCTTTTATCGCGAACACCTGGTGTCATCACTGATTTTCAGTGATCCATTCATATAATATTAAAAGCTATTTTGCCTTTAAAGCCCAAAATAATTTGTTTCGGTAGATAGTCTAGACTGATTTTTCGCTGGCCTTGACGTGTTATATTGACATATTTAGAATAGGCAGAAAAATGTCATTTGTGTCTCGCCACCTTCAATCTCGGCCATCAAGCTCTTACCAATCCACAATACGTTTCTTAATAATATTGTTAAAGCATCATAAACAAAAGCTGGGCACCGTTCCACAAAGCGATCTTAGCGCTAGGACTATCGAGAGCTAGGGTTAAAGTATGGTAGCTGAGGTCACCTTAGCGCTAAGATGGCTTTGTGGCCCAGGGGTCGTTGTATCACAACATGCCCCAGTGGCCAAACTAACCATATATTTTTAATCCTGATGGCGTAGGGATCTGGGACGTCAACCCCAAACTTGGGCGGCGGCCGGGACTCCTTCCCGACATCCGCCACAGTATGGCACTTCCGGTACTGAGCCATATAGTCGCTGGCGTCACTCACGTGTCGGAAGTGGTATGGTGTGTACTTATGTTCGGAGCAGAGACGCTGAAACACAGAAATGTACGGTTTCCGTTTTGACACCGACGCACCACTGTTCTGTGGTCGAGCCTTGTTCTTTGCCCCTCCCCACGCGCACATGATACCCTCCTCTCCTTCATTAATAGGACTGCAGAAACACTTCCTGTTTGACAACGAACACGATTTGAGCTGCTCTCCGGAGGAAGATTTCCCATAATTGCACATACATTTAGGTGTCGTCTGCGCGACTTCAAGCGCCTCGTTTTTTGGAGAGCATTTGTCTGGTAAATCATTATATTCCTCGTCCTCCTCTTCAATAACTGCACTCCCTGACCATTTGCATACGAGGGAACCATTAGCAGCGGCGACGGTGTCAATTTCTGGAAAAACGGTTCGATGCAGTTTGTCACAGTTCTTTGGTATGACGTCATTGAAATGTGACTGAAACTGAGATTCGTAGTTCTCGTTTGGTTGTTGCCATGGCAACAGTCCGCCATCTTTGATTTCGATGATACGGGTTTGTGTCATACCATCACTTCTAATTACACCACGGCAAGATTGACATCAATTCTTTATCAGACCTTGAAGGGTTTCCTTCCAATAAGAGCAATGGTCGACTTTTGCGGTGAATAATTGAGTGAACGCCAAGCAATATAGCCGCGATGGTGTGATTCTGTGGCGCAGGGGAGAGTCACAGCTGACGCCAGACACCCATTTCTTGGGAACTGATCTGAAACAAAAACAAGGACATTTATTTCCTCGCTTCAAATAATTAAGGATCTTGTTTATAAGAAAACAAACTTTAATTTGCTGCTTCTATCGATTCACCCTGAAAGGAGGAGGAGGAGGAGGAGGAGGAGGAGGGGGAGGGGGAGAGGCGAAGAATAGTTTTTTTCACAACACATTTTTTTGCAGGGCATCCAGCGGGTCCGACGAACAGTAGTTGTTGTTTTTTTCTTGGGAAGCTTTAAGACAATTATTTCCCCCATAATATCGGTCCCTTAAAACAACTTGACTCTCATCGCAATATGTTGACACAACACGTGATAACAGATAAATTAGGCGAAGGTGAAATGGGGTTTAAGATTATTATTTTGCACTTAAATAGCTTCTGCATGCGCGCGCGAGTGTGCTGGTCCGTACTAATGACGTCTTGATAGTGCTGGCCCATAACGATACCATGCCCCACAGTTTTAACATGGATTCCCAACAGGTAAACAGGCTCCGAGCCGACCAGTCTTGCTTTATCCTTAATGCCGAATGCCTGGTGTCCCAGTCTTCTAAGGCGCCGCGATTCGCTGTGCAGAGTTGCGTCCCTTGGGCACGCCAGAAACCTATGATTGTGGGTTCGAATCCCGGTTCGCCCCGATTATGTTTCTAGGTTTGTCAGCACCATACCCGTGATCGTGGGTTTCACCGAAGTGGTAAACGTCTGAGACCTGCATCACTTTCCTCCCACATTAAGCTGACACGCCGTGATATAACCGGAATAATGTTAAAAGCGGCGTTAAACCCAACTCACTCACTGAGCGGGCATGGTAACAACAAGTACCATCTTTCAACGTCTTTTGGTGTGACGCGGCAGGGTACCGAACCAACGACTTTCCGCTCTCTGGGCAGATGCTCTATCCACTAGACCACGGAGGTGGTAGACACAGAAATTCCATCTGAAGGCCTATGTGTCTCAATTCAAGTGAGGCGTTGTTTATCGTTCACTTGCGAGACCAAGGAGTCAAATGACACACAGTTTGTAACAAAGATTTGCTTTACAGAGGGGAGTGTAGCCTAATTCACGTGGTTAATGAGTTCGCTCGTCACGCCGAAGACCCTGGCGATTCCCTCGCCGTGATGTTACTGGAATATTGCTAAAAACGGCGTAAAACCACACTCATTCATTCACTCACTCTCTTAACAAAACGCCCCGCGAAGACCTGGGTTAGAATAGGTCTTCAGCAACCAATGCTTGCCGTAAAAGGCGACTATGCTTGTCGTAAGAGGCGACTAACGGGATCGGGTGGTCAGGCTCGCTGACTTGGTTGATGCGTGGATCCCAATTGCGTGGATCGATGCTTATGATATCAATCACTGGATTGTCTTGTCCAGACTCGATTATTTACAGACTGTCGTCATATAGTTGGAATATTGCTGGGTGTGGCGTTACACAACAAACAAACCCAATTGCATGGGTCGAGGATCATGACATCAATCACTGAATTGTCTGGTCCAGACTCGATTATTTACAGACCGCCGCCATATAGCTGGAATATTGCTGGGTGCAGCGTGAAACAACAAATAAACAAACAAACAAACAAAGCCAATTACATGGATCGATTATCATGACACCAATCACTGGATTGTTAGGTCCAGACTCGCTTATTTACAGACCGCCGTCATATAGCTGAAATATTGCTGGGTGCGACGTTAAACGACAAACAAACAAATCTTAACAGAACTGTTTAGATTTACCTGTGGTGAAATCCAGTATGCTCCACGAAACTCAAACGACAACAGCTGTTTTCTGATGGACACAGGTCCGTTCAAGTGAACCGCTTTGTAAGTTACTAGTGTACAGTATGTTGAAATAAAGTCAACATAACAAAGATCAAATAACTTAAGGCTATTTTTTTTTGTTTCGTGACGTATTTGTGCAGATTAATGTTTAAATCAGTCGGTATTCGTCACACTTGGGCGCTCTCACCTGTTTTCGCCCACCTCTTAGACGATTAACACCTTACCTGAGTAACGCTGAAAACTTAAGCTGTATGACGAGGGTCAGTAGATAAATACACCATGTATGGGCACGTCTTCACAATATATACACCCGTGGATAAACACACACCTGGCGCACTCACTCCCAACACAAAGAACCAGTCAATCTGAGTGAGGTTGCTATTATACTTCCTCCGTACTGTTTAAACGAAAAGTATACAAGTCGTTAGTCGTATTGACTGGTTGTGATCCGTGCCAGATATGACCCATGCCAATATGTATATGTTCTGCATTCACCCGTGGCTTTGTAGTCCAAGAATAAGAAAGTTTATCTTGACAAAAAGCAACTGCAAATATAATATTTCTATTGAAACGTGTACGCTGCATGATTGTGTCAGTCAATGACTTATGGTAGATGAATAGCAATTATAAGTATATTCCATCGTATGTTCTGCTATATCGCGTACCGGTCTCTATATGTAGATATTGGCGATTGTTTGTTGATTTTCTTTACGTGATAATGTCAAAAGACATTGTTCCGAGTTTGACAAACCCGACTGATTGAAATTCGGTCTCGACACTTAGTCATGAGCGTGAAGGTATTTGTCAATCAAGACTTTAGGTTCAAAAGTTTATGTTACTGTGAACTGTGAACTGTGCCTGAGTGTGAGCACACGAAATGTGAGACAGCATTTTAATTGGTTGGCTTTAGCTGATTTTCTGCACAATAATTTCTTAAGATCTTTCATAATGCTCGTTATAGTCGGTACGTTCACTGAATGATTTGTCAAGATGGTAAAGATATCACTGCTTGAATGACACCCAAAGTGAATGAGTATGGTTCTACGCCGCTTTCAGCAATATTTCAGCACAATTACGCCCGGGGGACACCAGAAATGTTTCTAGGTTTGTAAGACCTGTATCACTTCGGGCTTTCCTCCCACATTAAGCTGACTGGAAGACTGTTAAAAGAGGCGTTAAACCCAACTCACTCAGGAATGGGCTTCACACATTGTATCAGTGTGTGGAATCAAACCTGGAACTTTATCGTGACGAGCGAATGCTTTAACCACTGGGCTATACCCCCAACATTCGACACGCTCATTATGTTGAGTATGGAGTGATGATCCCCTTTGCACAAATACTGACTGACCAACAGGTGAGTGAGTGAGTTGGGTTTAACGCCGCTTTTCACAGTATTCAAGTTATATCACGGCGTGTCAGCTTAATGTGGGAGGAAAGCCCGAAGTGATGCAGGTCTCAGACGTTTACCACTTCAGTTACACCCACGAGCACGGGTATGGTGCTGACATACCTAGAAACATAATCGGGGCGAACCGGGATTCGAACCCACAATCATAGGTTTCTGGCGTGTCTAAGGGACGCAACTCTGCACAGCGAATCGCGACGCCTTAGACGACTGGGCCACCCGTGCCCCCACTGACCAACAGGAGTGAGTGAGTGAGTGAGTGAGTGAGTGAGTGAGTGAGTGAGTGAGTGAGTGAGTGAGTGAGTGAGTGAGTGAGTGAGTATGGCTTTAAGCCGCTTTTAGCAATATTTCAGCAATATCACGGCGGGGGACACCAGAAATTGGCTTCACACATTGTACCTATGTCGAGAATCGAACCCGGATTTTCGGCTTGACGAGCGAACTCTTTAACCACTAGGCTACCCGACCGCCCACAACAGGAAAGATCCGGCATTGGCTATGACGCCTTGTGACGATTCCTGGGTGGAAAAGGCCCAAAATAGCCTATGCTTGTAGTCTGAACTCACCGAAAACGCGAACATCGGGTGATTACAATGATTACGTTTGTTTGTTTGTTGTTTAACGCCGCACTCAGCAATATTCCAGCTATATGACGGCGGTCTGTAAATAATCGAGTCTGAACCAGACAATCCAGTGATTGACATCATGAGCATTGATCCATACGGTTTGGATACGATGACATGCATTAACCAAGTCAGCGAGCCTGACCACCCGATCCCGTTAGTCGCCTCTTACGACAAGCATAGTCGCCTTTTACGGCAAGCATGGGTTGCTGAAGACCTATTCTACCCCGAAACTTCACGGGTCACAATGAGTAAGTGAGTGAGTTGGACCTAACCCCTCTTTGAACAGTATTCCAGTTATACCACGGCTTGTGGGAGGAAAGCAGGAAGTGACGCAGGTCTCACCCGTTTACCACTTTGGTGAAACCCACAAGCACGGGTATGGAGCTGACAAACCCAATAGGGGTGAACCAGGATTCGATCTCCTAATCATAGGTTCCTGACGCGAAAACGGGCCGCAACTCTGCGCAGCGAATTGCGGTGCCTTAGACGACTGAGCCACCAGTGTCCCATCGGGTGATTAGTGTGTGATCTGGCTGGTTGTGTATCATCATGTTCCGACGATGTCGATCGGTGGTCATGCTGTCAACCACTGGTTTCTCTGCCTTGCATTCTGATGCTTTGCAGGGCGTTTAGCTGCGGCGTTGAACTACATTCACTCACTCAGATTTTACATATCTGATCATGGGAGCCCCGGAGATGTGGATGCCTGTATGTAATCTTTCACCGGTAAGATAAATTTGTTGTCTATCTGTCCCTCGGGGTATGTTATTAGTTGTCTACCGGACTCGAGGGGTATATACCTTCGGGCTTAGGCAACATAAACTAACATAAACCCATTAACCCATGTCCCCCAGGGGACCGGTGGACAACGAATTTACCTTACCATACAACTGCTGGTATGTCATGCATGCATGCTTTGGTCAAAATCGGTAAGAATACCACAGCTAGGTATTTATCCACTTTTTCCCATTCCTCGAAAAATAGCAGACGACAGAAAACAAACTTAGAGTTATTCCCCCTAGATCTATTTCATTCGGAAAATATCGTAAATATCCGGAGAATGGCGCCTTACATAATTAATTCGAGATTCAAAATTGCGATTGGTATGTTGCAAATGTAATGCCAACAGTTTGGGAACATAAGAAGTGTACCTTACATCGAAAATAAAATAATGGGTCTCAACCAATGAGAATCCGACATTCATATGTTACAGGGTATGACAATGTATACCCTGTTGGCGAGCCAATGCCAGCTTAGGTTATACATGGGCTATATATAACATATATATCCCTCGAGATAGGTCGGCAACTAATATATACTGGTGAAAGCGAAGTAATTGGCGCGATTACACAACCGTGATATGCGCGACAAATAAAACAGTATAGGCAACATAGCTGATCCTATGTACGATAAAACAAGCAATATGAGACGACATATAAACTACCTACCCACACTTACAAGTACCTGCTCGGGATATGAACTGGCTGGCCCTTAAACATCTTATCGTTTCATCTCAGTCAACAACTGATCTCCCGAAATATACCATATTGAAATAATATACACCGAGCTACCTTTGGCAAAACGGCGTTGAAGAAGGAAGTATACAAGACAAGTCCTTGATTAATCTGTAGATTATTTGTACGGGTAAACAGAACTAGTTATTATGCATGTGGTTAAGAAAATTAACGTTAGTAAACGCAATGTCCGGATTTCTAATTCATGATTGAAGGAGCGATAGGGTAACCTAATGGTTAAAGCGTTCGCGTTCAATTCCTACATGCGTACAATGTGTGAAACCTATTTCTGGTGTCCCAAGCCGTGATATTGTTGGAATATTGCTAAAAGCGGCGTAAACCATACTCACTCACCCAATAGATGCAAACGAATCACACATTTACGAATGTACACAGTTTTCAACGTAATACAGCCATCGCTGTTGACGTGATATTATTGACGTCACACTTGATGAGTACGTATTTTAAATGACATCTGTATAACTCTTGTGTATCATAACTCCTATATGTATAATAACTCGTGTGTATTTTAACTCACATCTGTATAACTCGTGTGTATCATAACTCTCATCTGTATAACTCTTGTGTATCATAACTCCTATATGTATAATAACTCGTGTGTATTTTAACTCACATCTGTATAACTCGTGTGTATCATAACTCACATCTGTATAACTCTTGTGTATCATAACTCCTATATGTATAATAACTCGTGTGTATTTTAACTCACATCTGTATAACTCGTGTGTATATTATAACTCATATCTATATAACTCGTGTGTATATTAACATCACAACTGTTTAACTCGTGTGTGTATTATAATTCATATCTGTATAATAACTCGTATGTGTATTATAACTCATATGTGTATAACTCGTGTGTGTGATATAACTCATATCTGTATCACTCGTGTGTATATTATAACTTCTATCTGTATGACTCGTGTGTGTATATTAACTCATATCTGTATTATAACCCGTGTGTATTTTAAGTTATATTTGTATAACTCGTGTGTATTATAACTCCTATCTGTATAAAGCGTGTGTGTATCATAACTCATGTCTGTATAACTCGTGTGTGTATCATAACCCGTGTGTATAATAACTAGTGTCTATCATAATCCGCGTGTTTGTCATAAATCGTGTCGGAACTTTTGTCATGCTGTCGCACTGGAAATATTAACACCTAGACGCTTGTTTCTCAAATTCAATAAGACGCACACACTCATGTAACAATCTCACCCCTAAGGATCCACTATACTGAACAACAAACATACACCGACTTACCTGGGCACGTGTTAAGCCTGCAGGTTCCGGCTAGTGTTTGATCAGTACTGTAGCCGCCCGTCTGTCGACCCACGTACTCCAACCCACCGTCACCTCGTCAATAATGCAGCCATCCATCTCCATGTTGATTGACAGTAATCAATACCACCCCATTGTCTTTTTATGACTAGGAAGCCGAGTAAGTTGTCTAATTAAAATCCTCAACGATGTGATATGTCGCAGAAAGAGATAGCTTCTAACTGGTAGGAAGAGCATATGTCTGGCGTGTGGAGCGTATACTGCTCAAATATAGTCAGGGATTTTCAGTAAAATCTTCAAGCGAGACAATTATATGGACAAAACTGAGAAGCATACAGACCGCCGCCATATAGCTGGAATATTGCTGAGTGTGGCCTCTCTCTCTCTCTCCCCCCCCCCCCCCCCCCCCCTCTCTCTCTCTCTCTCTCTCTCTCCTACACACACACACACGCACACGAGTTCATTCTCCTGATACTAAACTTTTTAGTCAATTTGGACACAGTCAATTGTATCATGTTGAATATTATTTTCTTGGACAAAATCCCTGACCTTACAGAACATATGTAAACACAAATATACCCGACTCGCTAAGTTAGATACCCCGAACACTCAATACGACAGTAAGGTATGTATTATACTCTGATAATCTACCCCTATCGGATGTTGACATGTCACAATGTTTCACATTGTCAAGCAGATGTCGGCGGCTTAGAGAATATCATGTATGAATAACCGTAAGCTTCTTGATAAAGTTTGGATTAACGTATAGATATCACCTGTGTTGTTATAAGTTATTATACCACGGTGTCTGACGGTCCTTGTTGCTATGTACTGGTCCTAGTGACGAGTTGTTCGGCAGTGAAGGAGAGCAGCGCTCTGATTGGTTAGGAACCATGCATATGGCGGACAGATTGGAAAAGAAGACTCAGTGAGTTAGGTGTGTCGCTAGCGGGGATGTGCGCAGTTTCAAGTGTGACCCCAAGACGGCATGATATCCGTAGTGGCATACCAATCGACATATTGCGTTTTCAAGGTTACCTGTAGACGCCGAAAATATGACGTCACAGCACCAGAATTTCAAGCTCTCTCTTGTCCCTAAAATGTGAATCATCTCACTTTAATAGTCGATTTCTATCGCATTTTTCCTATTTTCTAGACTATAATGCTTCATATTGTTTGGGAAAATGATTCCTACAGATAACGACTGAGAAGTATTTTGTTATACATATTAGCTTCCGCGGTGTTGCGACCGTCATATTGGCTGTTTCAATCAGAGGTAGTTGTTGTGATTTGATACCTCTGATTGACCAGTCAGAATCGAGTAATTTCTAAATTCGTGGTTGAATATGAGTTACATGTGTCACTAGCCGAGTGTACTGGATTTTACGAGCTGAATGCGTTTTTACACCATGAGACCATGCATGGTCGATGGGTGGACACGTGTCGCAGAGGCTTATGCAGGGTACTGGAGAGGCACAAAAGCATGCTGTTTTTACAACCGGATTTATTCCAATGATGGTCCACATGTGCAATCAGTGGTTATGATGATGATGAAACACTCGTCTAAGGGGCGGAGGCCAAACCACAAGATGTCATCAAAACTGGTCATCCAGTATCTTACGTGACCCCAAACTAAACTGTCCTTTCCCAGTGAGAGTTGTGACTAGAAAATGGTGCACATAGTAAAGGTGTGAAGTACATGACCAAGGTGGTCATGTGACGCGGAAATACAAAGCCAGGCCAAGCTGACCGGCAGAGAACAATAGGCTAGGCTGAGACCGCAGTAGCCTTAGCACAAAGAATCAGTCACCACATGTTAGATTATGTTACTGAGGTGTGAGTTTGTGGACTAAGTAAACTAATTTATTTAATAAATACACTAATCCTAAAATACCTATGTTTTGGATAAGTTTATACTAAACTACTTTTAAAATAATCCCAAATATATACATCCTGCCACACACGAACTTTCAGCTCATGTAATCCCGTAAAATCCCGCACACCCCGAGAGTGATATCTGTGACACATTGATCCTTACGTCTTCACCAGAACAGAATTTTTTTCGGTGCAAATTGTTTGTGCGACGACACCAGAAATGCCTTGTACCGGCAGTGGACTGGGTCTGGTAACGTAAAAGGTGGACAGGGTCAATCACCAGGTGACTGGGTGTATTTGGGATTGGAATCATAGGATCCTTAATCGCCAAAGGGACGTAACTCTGCACACAGCGCAATATCATGACAAAGTCAAGGGGAACGGGCATCAACCTTGCGCATGCGTGCTACATCGGAATGTGTATTTCCGTTTGGTCAGGGACCATACCTCGTGGGAGGAGGTAGCCACGGTTCAAAACTGTCAGGAATCCACTTTGGAACGAGTCTCATGCACGTGACTATCTCAAGACGCAACACAACCTTGCGACCGTCGTGAACTTGATAGATTGTTTCTGTTTTCTTTCGTCTCCAAACCAAAGCGTATACGTAATGTCTGTTAAGCAGATAGTGAAGTGTCTTCAAAAACGGCCTTCACATGACACGAAACATACGCATATGCGGAGGGATCTATCGTTACGCGGATCACAGTAAACTCAAGGAATATCACTACGCCAATGCTGCCCGAATCATTATGAAAGAAGCGGAATAAGCCGAGGGAGGTCGAGTGGACTCGAGTGGACCCGAGTAAGCATAAGAGATAGCAATACTGGAAAAGATCTCTTGTTTAAAAAAAGATTTGCTTATTTCCTCTTTACAGCGAGTACACAATGTTTCGAAACAGCGTCTCATAGGTCACAAGATGAGACAAACATTATATTTAACTAGAAAAACCAAATTCTATTTGTTGTTTCTTTCTGATCCAACTTTCCTCTAAACCACTGTGTCATGGAGGCAGACAGAAACAAGTTCCAGTACAAAGTATGAGATATCGATTTAATATTTTTAGATAAAAACAGTATTTCATCACTAAATACATAATTGTATAAACTGAAAAGTCGGTTATTATGTTCCTGGGGTAAACTACCGGGCACAAGAAACTATACACCCATGTTTGATTGTGGCTGAAAATGGTATGATGGTGGCTTAAAATGAAACAAACAAGAAATGGTTATTCGATGGTGATGTATTTGATACGGAGTTTGGTTGGTTGGTTGGTTGGTTGGTTGGTTGGTTTGTTGTTTAACGCCGCACTCAGCAATATTCCAGCTATACGACGGCGGTCTGTAAATAATCGAGTCTAGACCAGACAATCCAGTGATAGATATCATGAGCATCGATCCACGCCATTTGGATCGATGACCGTGCATCAACCAAGTCAGCGAGCCTGACCACCCGATCCCGTTAGTCGCCTTTTACGACAAGCATAGTCGCCTTTTCCGGCAAGCATGGGTTGCTGAAGACCTATTCTACCCCGGATCTTCACGGGTCTTTAAGTTTGGAGTATTTCGGCGACTGTTTTCAGCCGAGTGACGTTCTGATACCGTTTTGTAATTTTAGGTCATCTCCAATTTTTAAGTGAATTATTTCTTTGCCCGCCAGTTTAGATTGCCTGAGTGTACACCCGATGTATGTGGTATATATAAGTACTCCGTACATTGGCTGCTTCCGGATCCGCGGGTCATCGTAAGCTGTGCGATCACGCGGACAGATTAAAAACTCATGCGATATTCACGACATCCATTAGAAAACGGACACACCAGGAATGGCGTGTTATATTAATGACAGGTACACTCCATTTGTCACCCTAATTAAACAACAGAGAATTCACCACACTGTATTCTTGTATACTTAAGATTCCGAATACCTTCGATATGTCTCAGTTGGTGTCGTGTTTGTTTGTTTGTTTGTTTATTGTTTAACGCCGCTCTCAGCAATATTCAAATTATATGAAGGCGGTCTGTAAATTATAGAGTCTGGACCAGACAGTCTAGTAACTGATATCATAGGCATCGATCTGACCAATTGAGATACGATGAAATGTATGAACCAAGTCAGCGAGCCTGACCACCCGATCCCGTTAGTCGCCTCTAAAGACAAGCATAGTCGCCTTTTACAGCAAGCATGGGTTGCTGAAGACCTGTTCTGACACTTCAAGGGGATACTTTTGTGTTTAAGGTCAAGACATGAATACAGTTTACATTTATACCAGGTAGAGTATTAGATATCAGTTTAAAAACCCTAAAGGTCCGTGTTGGAATAGGTCTTTAGCAACCCATGCTTGTCTGTCGTAAGAGGGATCGGGTGGTCAGGCTCGCTGACTTGGTTGAAGCATATACTTGTATCTAAATTGCTCAGATGGATGCTCATGACGTCAATCACTGGATTGTCTAGTTCAGATTCGATTAATTACAGAACGCCGTTATATATCTGGAACGTTGCCGAATGCGGCGTTAAACAACAAACAAAGAAACTAAATAACGTAAATACGGACACTGGCGTTAACATTGAATTGCCCATATTAACAAATATCCGTATTAACGAAGTTGTGTCCCTTTAATTGTATGGAGACGTTCCAAACAGGAATCTTACGAAAGACGAGGTTTCCGGACTAGCGGGTTTTCACTGTATTTCGCTGTCGATGTTATTCATCACCAAACAAGCTGTTCCTATATATGCTACCCAAAACAAATCATAGAACACACACACACACACTTGGAGACTTTGAGTACCCACCAGCCATGTCAGATTAACAATACTTAAAACATCGGGCGTTCTTTAACTTCTTTTGAGTAGTATATCCCGGATCGAATCCCGGACTGGAATCAACCCCAAAAAAGTACGAGAATCTGTACTTTTACTAAGAAAGTGTTATCCCAAATATAACATTTGTTACATTTGACCACTTTCTAAATGGCATTGTGTATTCATAGTGTATTAGAGTTGAGGGGACAGGCACCCTCTCATCGTAATACTGTACACGATCAGAATCAGAGATACACATGCACAGAATCGACAAGTGCTGATAACATTGTATCATAAATAATTATTGTTCTTCACGGCTTGGTGTGAGTGAATGTCAGACATGGTCAGTAATCTATGCCCTATGCCCTGTAATCAATGCTGTATGCCCTGTCCAATGCTGTATGCTCTGTCCAATGCTCTATGCCCTGTCCAATGCTGTATGCCCTGTCTAATGATGTATGCTCTGTCCAATGCGCTATGCCTTGTACAATGTTCTATGCTCTGTCCAATGGTCTATGCTCTGTCCAACGCTCTATACCCTGCCAATGCTC